GCTCACAAGAGCAGCAAACCTGGTCCATCAGCCGGTTGGTGACAGGGACTTGGCATAACCTCAGTAAATTACCTAAGGCACAAAACCAAGAATGGATGCTTAGCGTTGCACCAGAACTTGAGACCTGAGCAATAACTGCTTCTCTCCCATGCTCACCTTACCCACTTCTCCTTGACTGCTGCTATATGGCTACACTTCCTGAAAATAAAGAAAAAGAACAATGCTGTAACAGAGTCACCATTTATGCTTCCCCTGCAGAGACAAACAGTCACTGACCTCCTCAAGGGAACCCACTCACCTGGGATAGGGTGCTGTGCCATGGATTTTATCCATCTGCATCTGAAAGAAAGTTAGGACAAATGTCAAAGGGCTGCAGGATAACTTCACAGCTCCAGACACCTTGGGTCAACCTAGGAATACCATCCAGAGTTCAACTACACCCCATACTACAAATTTCAAGCCCCCAGGATTTGTCCTATTACACCAGGCTATGAAGCAGGGCAGAGCAGCTCCGGCACAAATAGTGCAGACACCCGTGACACAGGACAGGACGTGACAAACAATGGGGACACAACAGGGACAGAAATCTCTTGACAAGAAGAATTACTGCAAGGACAGAGAGAACGCAAATTAGATGACTGGGGTGAGACCGATGGTGAGCTGTAGAGGCTCAGAGAACCCTGGAGGAAGAATCTGCTAAGACAATGGTCTACACCAAGAACTACAAAGATGGATGCCTGAGAATCCTACGGTCAGAATCCTCTACCTATCCTCACATTCTTACAAGTACTAATCTGCCATAATGGATCCTTGCAATGCACAGCAGTATGTACAGCTCAGAACAAGACCTGCAAAGACATCAGACTGGATGTTCCTAAAGAGAAATGCAATTCCAATGCCGGTCTGAGCTCCCGAGTCAAAAGTCCTATGGCATTGGGGCCAGGCCAAGAAATGCAGGGATCAGAGATGCTAAGAGTGATGCCAGGGTTTCTGTCAGGCCCCTCAAAGGGCTAAGATAGAAGATGTATGACATGGGACATATAAACAACACGAGGCACGTTAGACAAGTGACACAATACACACCGGGACTGCACTGCCCTCCACGCCTCAGCACTCTGATCAAAAGTGACACTTTCCCTTTATGTGGCCTAAGGGGACATTTCTTGGATAGCCTCATCCCCAAATCTGACTCAAAAATCCCTCCCAGCAAATCCCAACCCAGCAACCCCCTTTCCTCCCTTCTGTGGTTCACAGCCCTCGACTTATCTCTCAGACATCGGGGGATGCCAATCTGCATCAGGTGCAAAAGAAGGCCACCTCGCCATCTGGGAAGTTCCTGCTGTCACTGGGCTGCTGCCTCAAAGCTACATTAAAGAAAACCAAACTAAAGAAAACAAAACATCAGTGTATGGTCCTGCCAGCACATTGCCCAAAACCCAACTCTTCCACTACTCACCATCTCCTAATACCATTACCTTCAGCAATGCTTGGAGGCCGATGCTATCATGGCAGGGTGCTCCTGGTTTAATGGGAGACGGGGAGATGAGGCATTGCTGAAACCTGAGCGGACCCTCGCTCCTCCTCCCTATTTTCCCCGACTCACCGCAACTCCTCGTCGGCTGCCGAAGGCCAGCCCGATGGCACCTAGAAAGGTTCAGGGCTTCATCACAGAGTCCTGCAATACCTCCACAGGGCTCACAAAAGCAGCAATCCTATCCATCAGCCGGTTGGAGAGGAGGGCTTGGCATACTCCAAATGGATTGCCTAAAGCACACAAACAAGAGTGAAGGCTTAGAGTTGCACCAGAAACTGAGACCCCAGCAATAACAACTGCTTCTGTTCACTGCTTGCAGCTGACCTTGACTGCTGATATCTGGCTTTACTTCCTAAAAACAAAGACAAAGAACAGTGCTGTAACAGAGTCACCACTTACACTTCCCCTGCAGGGACAAACTGTGACTGACCTGCTCAGAGGAACCCCCTCAGCCGGGATGGGGTGCTCCGCCATGGATTTTATCCGCCTTTCCTGCGGTCACTGGGCTGCTGCCTCAAAGCTACATTAAAGAAAACCAAACTAAAGAAAACAAAACATCAGTGTATGGTCCTGCCAGCACATTGCCCAAAACCCAACTCTTCCACTACTCACCATCTCCTAATACCATTACCTTCAGCAATGCTTGGAGGCCGATGCTATCATGGCAGGGTGCTCCTGGTTTAATGGGAGACGGGGAGATGAGGCATTGCTGAAACCTGAGCGGACCCTCGCTCCTCCTCCCTATTTTCCCCGACTCACCGCAACTCCTCGTCGGCTGCCAAAGGCCAGCCCGATGGCACCTAGAAAGGTTCAGGGCTTCATCACAGAGTCCTGCAATACCTCCACAGGGCTCACAAAAGCAGCAATCCTATCCATCAGCCGGTTGGAGAGGAGGGCTTGGCATACTCCAAATGGATTGCCTAAAGCACACAAACAAGAGTGAAGGCTTAGAGTTGCACCAGAAACTGACACCCCAGCAATAACAACTGCTTCTGTACACTGGTCACCACTCACCTTGACTGCTGATATCTGGCTTTACCTCCTAAAAATAAAAACAAAGAACAGTGCTGTAACAGAGTTACCATTGACACTTCCCCTGCAGAGACAAACTGTGATTAGGTTTGAGAGCCTAGAGATGATGGCTGGTGCTTGCGGTAAGGGCCTCGAGAGGCAAAGGCGGAGATCTCACCCAAGGGACTCCGAGGACACACTAGCTAACACAGTACACCAGATAACACAACACAGACCAGAACTGTTCTGCACTGCACACCCTACAGCTGTAATCAAAAGCAGAGCCTCTCCCTTCAGCTATCCTAAGAAGTCTCTTAGAGAACATCCCTTTACCCTCTGCTAATTTTTAGATCTGCCCCAGGAACTTCCAACCCACTATTCTCCTACCATCCCATCTCCAGGCAGTGGCCCCCAACATATCTTTTTGATGACCGGTGATGTGAATCCTCTTTGGACCTGAAACGAGCCTGCCTCAGAGGGCCCCGTGACTGCCCGTTAGCCTCTCAGTCAGCTACAATAAAGAAAAACAAAAACAGTGTATGAGTTTAGTGTTATGTGGGCCAAATCCCAGCAAGTCAGCTACTTGCCCTTGCCTGAGTGTGCCTGGGTCCTCAAGTCCCCAGCTTCATCCTGCATCCAAGGATGTGGTTGTTATTATGAGTGGCACCTGAGTTAGAGAGAGCCAAAGTTACACAGCATTTCTGTGAGTGCAGTGGATGAGCCTGTGTGCTACAAGACATGCAAAAGCCTCTGCTATGCTTGTGAAACGCCTTGGGGGGCCCTCAAATAGACACCGTTTCTCACCCTGCTGCCTTCAAAACCACCCACAACAACTCCTAACTGGAATTATTAAAAGCTCTTCATTCTCCCTCTCCTAGTCACAACGCTTAACTCATTTGAAGCTTCAATCTCAAATATCATCTTGGACACAGAGCAAATTCCTTTTGTGACATTATGAATCTGCTGAAAAAAGTACTCCACTTGACACAATCTGGAATTTCAGAAAGTTGCATTCCTCCCAAAAAGAAGAGAAAAAAAAAACAAAACAAAAAATCCCAAAAACAACAAAAAACCCACAAAACCCAAAGAAAGCCTATAACAAAACAACACAAACGGTATAAAAGCCCTCAGAGCAGCTGCAGCTGTTTGGCTCCACTCACTTGAATTTGAGGGGGGTAAAGAGCTTACTGTAGGAGAAAACTCTTCAGAGAAATGATAGTGTTTTCTTTTTGCTACAACTGCTTGGACTAAAAAGGGCAGCCACGGGTAAGAAATAAAACTTTGCGTTTAGGTTGCGTGATTAGATAAATTGCATAATTTGCTCTTAACTTACATAATTATTTCTTGGTGAGTACTGAGCGGTGCTTCACATGTGACTAAGTAAGGAGAATGGCAAGCCCAAGGGGCGTGCAGGCTATATCCTTCTGATCGCACAGGCGCAATCTGCAAACTCACCCTCTTCTGCTATTACCCTCCCGACCCCCAAGTAAAATGCTTTCCAGCGTCGAGTTACTGAAAGACAAAACTTGTGATTTGACACTAGGATCCAAAAAACGTCTGGGTTTAGACTCGCAAATGCATTTAATTGTGCTTTATTGTTCAACTTTCAGGACTGTTTTGTCGGAGCTTCTTCTGAAATGGGAAGAAGCTAGTCCTCTCTCCTCTTCATCATTACTGCTCATTTATACAACTGCACCTATGTTTCCAGAAAAATGGGAAAGGGAGGTGTATATACTGTGTAGATGCTGTACAAATGCATGTAAGCCGGTTAGTTATATTCATATGAATAAAGGTGCATCTGTATTTAAATACTTTACAATGTAAGTAAATTTTAAATTATTAAGCCCAACTAATGTGAAGCACTGATAAACTAACCTCCTCAGTGCTGGCAGTTCATCTTAATAAGATGAAAACTACTCTAAAAGGGTCATAACTGGAGCAGCTATTTTTCTTATGTAGATCAGGACTGAGGAAGGATGTAATTCAATGAAGAAAATTAATATGAACTGTATTTTTTAAATTAGTGGATATGATATGTCAGAGAGTTGAGTACAAATCTTGGTGGTTACCGAGAATGAGAGCCAAAGAGGTATGCAGGTGCAAGAATTCATTAGGGAGTGTTTGCGCTTATGCAAATAGCGTGATAATGTGAATCTTACCTGTGCCTAAATTGAAGCTCAGTTGCCTAATCTCTATGAAGTTGTCTCTATAGCATTTATGTTAGTGTGAGATTCTGCTTTAATTACAAGATATGAAGCAGGTGATGTATGATATAGAGTAGTTAGGTTGAGAAGAAGCAGAGATTTGCTCTTGGGTATAATTCTGATTTTTAAAAGGACTGCTAGTGTGTTTGAAGTTTAGATACGTTTTAGGTAGTTTGAATTGGGACACATGAGAATGTTGATATTAAAGGAGTTTTGTTTTAATCATTAGCTCAGATATACTCCTCTTTTATGAATTATTGAGAGTGCTGTCAGAAACATGCTTTTGATAAGAAAGGGTATGGTTTGTGGCAAGGCAGTCTGTCTTCAAGTTGGTGGAACGTAGTTTATGAAGAGGTGGTGAGTAAATTTATTTGATGGTATGAGGTAGTAATGAAGGTGGCTTTTGAACTTGGCATTCTAGGATTAGTTTTGTTTGCTGTTTGTGTTAAGGTGGTGGAGGGAAACCTCTGAAATGCTGTTGTTTCCTCATGCTCTTAAATTAAAATACTGGTTTCTTTTCTCATTGTGTGTAGGCTGAAAAAAGACTGAAAAAATCAGTAGCAACCTGTGGTCTTACAGAGTTGTATAGTGCAGTTGTCCTCTTTGAGGCGTTAAGTTTACTTTTCAAACATGGTTGTGAGCCACCACCTGCTTTGGAACTCTGATTGCATCATGCCTTTGTATTTCATTTAATCGTAGCTTTTTTGCTTCCAGTCAGGACATGGACATTTGCTTTGGGAGTAACGTGAAAGCCAGACTGTGATGGCTTCTACAGACTGTGCATGCTGTAAGAAGTGTTCCCTGCATCAATGAGTTAATGTGCTGTGAACCCTGTTCGGCAGAAATGTTTTTTTTTTTTTTTAATGGCAGGGTATAGTATTGTGGGAAATGGAAGACTAGTTGACTCGTTTACACTGATGAAGCATTTCCATTCCAGCTCTGTCTCTGAAGATCTGGGTTGCAGACGCGGAGAGTTTAGCAGAAAGCATTACGGATCTGTGGAGCTTGTAAGTACACATAGCCTGCCCTTCAGTTTATCAGCTTATAATGCAGAGCTTTAATCCTTTTCATTTCCAAGTAAAAGAATTGGATCTAGTTTGGAAAATGTGCGTTTTCAGCTAGACTTGAAAGTTATAAGCTAATATAAAGCGGCTTCTGAATAGATATATATCAGACCTGTGATAGGAGATCTTTTTATTACCTGATTGAATAATTTTTCATTATAACAGGGAAGGAAGCTTTATATACATACTGTATTTACCTCCAGATGGAAATTGAGCCTTTTTTCCTCTTAAAAACTGAAGATGGCAAAATATTATAGGGTAGTATTTAATGAATTGCTAGCAATTATGTAAGCTATAAACTGTACACATGCTCATGTGTGTACATACATGTGTGTGTAATTTTATATGTACTGACTCATAGTAGTGGGAGAGGGCTTAAGACTAAACGAACTAGTCAGAATTAGGATTTTGAAAACGGTTCCCTAGAATGTCAGTTTTTCTGCATTTTCTTGAAATTCAGAGATTAAGTTGGCACTACATTTTTCTCATATATCATTTTCTTCTGCATTGTGAAAGTATGTGAGCAGTTAAAACAGTGTCATTCTGATTGCGAGGTCATAATGAAATTTCATAAATTTATTGTTAGATAACAAAAGTGGGGAGGAGTTAAGCAAATGAACTCCACCTCTGTTACTCTGGGATGAAATCACAAGTTTTCTACAAGCTATAGTTGTAATTTTAAAGTTCTTGGGTAGTATATTTACTAACGCGTATGTAAATTGGGTGTAAAATGGAGGCCTAGTTGCTGGAAGTTGCATGTTTAGTTGCCCTTTCAAATTTCTAAATGTTTCAAACAGCTTTTCTTGCTTCATGTTTTCCACAGTAGCATCTCATTCATGTCGCAGAGTTCTTACTGGGTCATTCAGAATTTTTAGTCAAATTGGTAATAGCTGGACTGATCCCATCTCTGTGGGGTGTCATGATGCCTGGAACAAAAAGAAATTATAGTAAGCTTTGATTGCCAATCGTATGGCTATTTTTGGAACTAGAATCTCTGTGTTAAACTCTCCTATAGCTTATATCTAGTGATGCTGATGGAGCCATTCAAAGAGCTGGACGGTTCCGTGTGGAAAATGGCTCCTCTGGTGAGGTAAGTGCCCAAAAATGCTCATGGAATGCTGAAGAAAATTATTCAACCTAAGTTATTTTTCACTTACAAAAGATGCATTTGCAGTCATTTGCTAAGGAAGAGGACTTGGACAATTCTGGCATTTTGTTTCGTTTTGGCAACATTTTGCTCGCTCGATCGTGTTAGGAGAAAAATATTTCTGAATGACGCTTCCCAGTCTCCAGTTCATCACTCTATATATATCCTGTCCTGTTGGTACTATGATTTTCAAGCTGACCTCTGTGTTTTAAAGTTTGCTCCTTGGCGTGATGAGGTTTAGTTTTATTTTTTTGACCCTTAGCTATCTTTTGGGAGCTATGCTTATCTTTAAATAAGGGAGAAAGAAGTTGAGTGGAGCCTCAGAAAGTAATTACTTTCATCTTTCTTGCTGCTAAACTTGCAGTGTGTCCCTGCAACTACTTCAGTGACAATTAGGTTTCCGCTTACCTTCATGTTTTATCTTCCTTTGCAAAACTTTTTCATCTACCATCTTTTTCATCAAATACCATCTTAATATTGAAAGAAAGAAGACCCTCATATTCTAGAGATACTTGTAAGATTTTGGTAAAGAATGTATTGAACTAATAGCAACAGCGAGCTGTTACTGGTCATCTGCTTGCATCAGCACTGGCTGCAGAGTTGAAAGCAATCTAACTATTTTGCATTCATTCTTTGGGGAGTTGTGTTTGCTCCTCTGTCTTTTTAGCTCAGTTTCATGCAGTTCAAAAGCCGATTAGCTCGTATCGCAGAAAGATTCATAGAGTGGGTGGTGGACGACCACGTGGTGAATGAATATGGAGAATGGCTTTTTCTTCGCTTGTTAATTCATAGTGGGAAGGTGCTTGAGGGATGCTTGGGAATTTACCTTAATTTATGAGAAACAGCACTGAAGAACTTCCAAAGCACGTTTTGGTCAAGCAAGGAGATTTTGGGGATTAATTTGGGAAGAACTGAGAAAATGAAAGCTGAAGGCATTAATTTAAGTTTTTTAAATGTTTGTCTTCAAATTCCACATTGAAAAACCTTCTTTTTAGTGACATTCTAAGATATTACACATAGGAGTGGTACAATAGGGCAAGACTTATCTACTTACAGAGAAACTAGAAAAAAGGGTAAATGAGGTAGAAATTTTTATTTCAGTTACACACCGAGTGACTTCACAAAAATCCTTGCTTTTTAAGTAGCAGTGTACAGCTAAAATTTCACTCTTTATTTGCTTTTGCCTGTATTTTGTCCTTTTTTTTTTCACTTGGCATTTAATGTAGCAATCTCCCATTCTGTTTCAGAATACAGACTGTGCTCCGGGTACGTGGCACAGAACGGATGTGCATTTGGAAAACCCAGAGTATCATACGAGATGGTACTTGAAGTATTTTTTGGGGAAAGGTAAATATTTTTTTTTGCAAATGGATGGGAATTTGGACCAATGAAAATGTAATTTGCAGAAATGCTGTTGCTGTTTCTGTAGTTTTGAACTGCTATTATTTCAATATGGAAAAAGATATGGTGTTAATGTAGTACTAAAACATTTTCTGTCCTGTACATAAAACAAGTCCTCGCTTCATGTGTTTTTAACCTGAAAGCAGAGGATGGGTGTCTGTAAGGAGTAAAACTCCTGCTACCAAAAAGGAATGTTTTGAAATCCTTCTTGGCTTTGAAAACCATACCCATCTCTTTGGGTGGTTTTTTTACACATCTGTATATAAATACGTAGTTATTTATGTAGACGATTATATACTTTTACATATGAATGCATATGTTTACGGGTGTCTCTCTGATTCTGCACATGAGTGAGTGGGTGTGTCTTCCTTATGATTGATGGTGCTGCTTGTTTTTCTTCCAACAGTTCATCAGAATTATGTAGGTACAGATGCAGAGAAGAACCCTTTCTTTCTGTCTGTTGTACTGTCTGACCAAAATAATCAGCGCATTCCTCAATACCATTCAATACTTTGGAGAAAAACAGTAAGAAACAAATACTTAACTGCCGTTCTGCCGGATATGTTTATCATACTCATTTTCCTCTTTCTTCAGATTCCAGTATTTATTACATATTTTTATTTTGTATAGTAAGAACATATCATTCTACCATAGTAGATAGCACTAAACTAAATTTGCAGATAACATTATATTAAACTTTTTGACAGAAATCTGTAATGTCAGATATTTTCTAATTCTTCTAACAACTGCTTTTTTTTGGAAATTATGCCTAAATTGTTCTTGGTTACGTTCTATGATCAGTTTAGGTAGTGACTTTACGCTCCTTTTAGGATTTTCTTGTACAATAATAAGAAAATAGGCAGGTCTGATACTGGTTTCACTTTTTTTCCACTTAACGTTCCATGAGATTCTTTTATACAAGCAATTGTTTTAAAACTCTACTGTGGGCATGTATGGTTCATCTTTTTTCTTTTCTTTGCAGCACTCATGACTTTTTTTTCTCTAAATAAGCAGTAAATATAGCTAAGTAAAATTACCTTGGTTTTCTTCTTTCTTTTTTCACTTAATTGTTTTTATTAATATTCCTATTTGAATATGCAGAAAAAGTTTGTGTCCTGTAACATGTCCTAGCTTTTCTTGTTTGCAGGGTACTCAGAAAATATGTCTCCCTTACAGTCCCACAAAAACGTTATCAGTGAAATCTATATTAAGGTATGTATTTACAAGTAAATTATCAGTTTAGATATCTGCCTGTATACCTTTTCCTGTAATTCAGAGCTTGCATTGTTATTTTTATGATAAATATATAAGAACTGTAAAAATGGCTTTGCAAGTCTTAATCATTGAAGGCAGCAAAAAGCGGTTTTAAAGCCTGTGCTTGACCAGACAAAGTGAAAAAGTGTGACTTTGATGCTGAACTTCTCATTTTCCAATTGACCTGCCTTGAATTATTTAAGATGAGAGAGAACTAGAAAAAGAGAGAAATATAATTGGTTATTGAGCCCTTCTAAAATGCTCACCGTGATTATGTTTAGAGCTGAAGTGAAGGGTGATGTAATAGAGCTCGGTGCTTTATAAGGAAATTAATTTAAATCTGATCTCCACACAGGGTCTTACTAATTTCTGTTTTTAAAGTACAAAAGAAGTTTAGGAAGTGTTGGAAGTTAGTATTTTGGGAAAGAAATGGCAGTTCCACAAAACATTCCATTTGACAGAGGCTCTTCGAACAATTCATTTGGTAACCGTTGTAACTGCAATCAGTTGGTGGTTCAGCATTGAAATGTGTATTTGTCCCTCTATAAAGCACTATTTCATTTGCATTTCAGTGCTATGAGTCTTGATAAATTTGAGAAGAGCCCAAGAGAAATTTTTCATCCTGAGATACAAAAGGTAGGAAGTGACTTTTTTTTGTTTGGTTCTTTTTCTTTATTATTTTCTGGAAATACAAGTAATTAATTATACATACTACTAGTTTGTTTCTTCCAGTAGCAGCTAATAATAATAGTAACATAATACTATTTAAACTTATAAACACAAATGAACCAACATCCTTGTAGAATCTTTTATACGAGTGTGCTAAAGATGCTGTTTTTGTTTACAGGATTTATTGGTTCTTGAAGAGCAAGAGGTAAGTATAAACCTAACTACTTCTAGCTCACAGACCCGTCCAGTGAATAGAGCTTTGTATTTTGATGTGCTTATGATGACTTTGCAATCAATTGCTGATTCCAGTAAAAAAATTAATGTTTTTTGAACATGACAGCAAAAATAACTTTAAGCACCAACTTAATAATAGATCACCAATTTACATTAATAATTTTATGCTATACTATCAAAGTTTAAAGGTAAATTATTATGTATTAGGAGATGGTATAAAGTATATGTTCTAATGTGTATGTATACAAAGACACATACATGAAATTCCTTAGGGGAAACAAATTTTTAGGTCTTCTGTTTGACTGTCTTTTTATAATGGTATTTGATTTTATTTCCCAGGGATCTGTGAATTTTAAATTCGGAGTCCTTTATGCTAAGGATGGTCAGCTTACAGATGATGAAATGTTCAGTAATGGTGAGATTTTCACCTTCTCTTTAATTGTTTTGTTCATCTGAAAAAAAAAAAGCAAGCAAGATAGTGCCTGCAGTTGGAAGCAGGCTGGGAGGTAATGGTTATATGAACAGCCATTTGGTTTCATGTGTTGGGTGAAAAATTGTAGCATAGGGCCTTCTATGTCTGTAAGAAGTTGCAGTAGGAAGCCTATTGTTACAGCTTGAAAGAGAGTGAAATCTCTCTTCTAGAAATAGTCTGTGTGACATGAACATTTAGAAAAAAGAGGCATTTGAAGGAGACAACTCATTAACTCACTGCTTGTAGTACTTTCAGTCTTTTACAGCACGATCACATTCTCCTATGCACTTGAGCAGCATTGGTGCTAGCAAAAGACGTCACTGTTTAATGTCATGTGATGATGCCTGTTCTGCACTGTTGAGGTGCTGTTTCTGGAAAGGCAGTAGGCTTGGAAGACATGAAAGAAAACCAACTCAGCTGAAACTTGTGTCCTGGAAGCGGGACCCGTTTCCTTATTTTGGTCATTTTTGAGATTTGTTCTATTACTACAGATGTGCTTGTTTGGTAACATTTCTCCTTCCCACATGTAGAAACTGGAAGTGAAAGCTTTCAACGATTTTTGCATCTCTTGGGTGACACAATTACTTTGAAAGGCTGGTCAGGCTACAGAGGAGGACTGGACACTAAAAGTAAGAACTCATGTGAAGCAATGAAAGGGGGGTGGAGCTGCATTCTAAATGTTTCTTCTTATTGCATATTGTGCATATTATATATATCATCGTTATGAAACAATCCCAAAACAGGCTTCCTTGTATGTGTGCTAAATGCTCTACTTCACCACAAATGAGTCAGGTTAGCTTAAGTCACTGGTATGGAATACAGTTATGACAGGTATTATCAAGGCGAACAGTTTCATTTTAAGTTGGAATGAGTTGAACAATAACCTGACATGTTACTTGCTTTGTGATAGAAGGACATTGTGGCTGGAAGACCCATGTGATTTCAGGAGGGTAGGTGAAAGGTGTTGTAGGTTTTAAGTGTGAATATGCAGATGAGGTGCAAACTTGGGTTCGGACTCACATGAACCATGCAGTGTGGACGTTTTCTAAAATGTGTCAGACAGAAAAGGGTAACCGAAGAAGATTCGGTAGAAAGACTTGAAATATTTTTTAATCTTCAGAAAACTTAGAGGAGATACTCCTCCTTAAAATGTTGCCTTCCCTTGCAGATGATACAACAGGAACCTGTTCCATCTATACGGTTTTTCAAGGGCATGAAATTATGTTCCATGTTTCAACCATGCTGCCATATTCTAGAGAGAACAAGCAGCAGGTACATACTTCTCTCTTTATTTCCCTATTTATTTGTTAAATCACAAACTCCAAAACTTTATAAGAAATAAAGGAATTCTTGTCTGTTAATATTTAAGAAATGTAAGCCTTGAGACTTTTGCACTTTTTTCCCTCCATATTCTACCTGATGCTGAAAATTTCATTGTTTATTAGAAATAATGCATCCTGTCATTTCCATTAAGGTACAAAAGATACTTGTGAAGAAGATCTAAATTGCTTCACTGACAAGCAATTAAGTGTGTTGTTCAGATGACTTGAAGAGCTTCCCTGCTGTAATTATTACCTCAAAGACTTTAGGAAAACTGGAAGTTAGCCTTGTGTGTGAATTGTAGGAATATTCACATGTGTAACGCATAGCTCCTGCTTGAGTAGCAATTAGTGTCGCTTGAAAGAAATGCCACTTGTGAGCATGTTAATGTTGGTAACCATAAAGAAGTGCTGTCACACTGCCACGGATTAACTAGCACAAATGTACTGTCATTTATTGTTCAGGCCTTTCTTTGTGTTTATGATGAAAAAAGTGCTTAATAGGCACATGTGTTTACTATACATCGTACATCCATAATGATTTACCTAAATTCCTTAAAAATTACTTGATTTATTATTTATTATACATTCTTACAGTAATATAGTTAGACGATGTAATTAAAATATACTTTTTCTGTTTCTGGGTCAGTTTTCTCATGCTTTTTGCTTGGACTGATGACAAGATCACAGAAGAAAACTGAGGCTAATCAGGATTTTCTTTTTTAAAGAATAATTCAGCACCAGAGATTTTTGTCCTTTTATTTCAAGTGGTAGATTTGCTTTTTTTTTGAATGCTAGAGTTTCCATGCCCGATTCATGAATATTAATTATGGAGACTATGAGTGCTTTTCTAAACATATGCAATATCTATTTTTCTAGAACCTGACTTGTTGTGTGCACCATGTCATTGCTTGGCTTACTTGCTTATAGTTAACTAATGATTTTATATTGTCCTCAGTCATACTGACTGCAATTCTTCTGTTTGCCGTTTAGGAATATTGTTTTATTATTCTGTCACAGAATTGCTAAGATACTTATGTGTGTCTTGTAAGTCACTGTGTCTTTTTTTCTGCCTCTTTTTTTCCTTTTTTGTTTTCCTTTTATTTCCAGGTAGAAAGGAAGCGACATATTGGAAATGACATTGTCACTATCATATTTCAAGAAGGTGAAGATTCTTCTCCAGTATTCAAGCCATCCATGATTCGCTCTCATTTTACACGTATCTTTTTCCTGACATTTTCTAATGCTTTGGGTTTTTGGTTTTTTTTAAGATCAACATTCCTTTTAATTCTGCCCTAATTCCTCCCTATATGCTGTTTATGGAAGTGAAAATTACTTTGTGAAGATAATTGCATTCTTGCATTCTTCACCTTCAGCTTCTTGACTAGGAGTTTGCAAGTCTGCAACATTAAACAGTGTTTGTTAAATCCGTTAGAAGAGGGGGTAAAAGCAAGAATGTGAGTTTTAAATCATTTTATTGAAAGCATTTATTTGTACAGCCTGTGTTTTTCAGTCTTCTGATTGAAAACATTTTGAAGACTATATGATTGCAAAAACCAGCGGCCTATCTCTTGGAGTTACCATTGGGTCACAGTAGTAGTAATCTGTAGACCTCAGCCTGGCATGTGTTAGACTAGATAGAATGGAATGAGGAAAAATGAATTAAAAGAAAACTCTAATTTCTATCTATACTCTGTTGCTGAGTTTTAAAAAGTTATCACAAACCTTAAGACTTCCAAACCTGGTTCTCAGGCAGACTAAATGTTCCTAGCACACACTTACTAGGGGATGAAAATGAACAAAGTTTGAAAAAATAATAAAAATCTTTACATATCAAAGGAACCTCAATGCTAGGAAGAATTGTTTACCACATCAATGTAACTACATTGATGTAGATGCTGTACTGTAAGAGCATCAGCCTTAGTATAACTTGCACTTTAAACCATTCTCTCATTTTGCTTATAATTTTGTTGGCTCAATTGTTTCATTGGAATCTTTTCTTCAGTGGAAGCTTTGGTATAAGCAAAGTTCAGTACCATATCAAATACAAATAAGACAAACTTCTGTATGTCTTATGCTGTGTCTGTGGTAGTAGCTTGATTTTGAAAACTGTTGGTCAAGCAATAACATTTTCATATGGGACCCATTTTATAAACAGTAAAATCTATATAGTCTAGAATTGTTTATATATTTGCATTGACTTGATTAATATATTTTACCTTTATTAAATTTGCAATGTACTGCAGGAAAAGAAAAGTTTATTATAATACAAGTGAGCTTTATTAGAACTGGATTATCTTCCTTAACTGTATGGCAGATATTTTTGCTTTAGTGAGGTATAATAAGCAGAATGATAGTTACAGGTAGGTGCTGATTGTAACAAATAATTTCACAATGAATTATTGATGGTTTAGAGAAAATGGGAAAACATTTTGGCAAAACATTTTCTTAGTTTGTGTAAAAGAAACATAACTTTGCTCTGCTGAGTAATTCCACGTGAATCTTTTTTTGTTACCCCCTTTGCAATTCTTATGTAAGACATCCAGGAAGCAGTTTCCATTTTTTTCCTTTGGTTCTGCATAGTGTCCATAAAAAAGGTAGGGTTTGATTGTGACTTTCAATGTAGATAAAGATTTGTACTTTCAATAGGCTGAAAATATTTTCAGAAGAAAGTGTTCCTCTCTTTGGGCCTCCCCTTCCATCCCCACCTGTGTTTACAAATCACCAGGAATTCAGGGATTTTGTGTTGGTGAAATGTAAGTAAGCTTTTCTTTTGCTAGAAACAGTCTTTTAATAATTGTGCTAACAAATTAAAATTCGTGATGCTTAAAACGTATATGCATTTTCTTGTGTATTCTGCTGATCTGTATGCAATTATTTTTTTTTCACATCTGTAGCATAGTTGGGATGTCCGTTCCATCAAACTGTTACAGTCAGATTAACAAATAAAAATTTTTCTCAGGCTACTAGACAGAGGCTGACTTTCACGTTTGCGGAACGTGCAGCCATATTTAGCTTTGCATTTCTGTAAAGGGCTTGGGAGATCTGAAAGTATGTATAATGCTGTTCATTATTTAGTAATAGATGTTGTTAAATTAGTAGCTCTGAAAAGAGCATCTCTTCTGAATATATTCTTAAAGGTGCTGAAGGATGCCTATGCAGCACTTTTTAATTCTGTAATCATTCAGTTCCGATTTTCATTGATTCGTATTTGCCCTTCTAAATCAGCAAGAAAGGAATTTTTGAAAATTGACCACGTTGATTACAATTAGACCTGAAAGGAGCTTGGTTGTTCATTTTGCGTATTTAAATTGTTTAGTACTTAAATTGACTGGCAGTTTGTCTTCAGTTTTTTATTAGTTAGGTATTTATTCTGATGCCTTGTGGAATTCTTCTATTACAGATTTTTCTCCTTTAACTTAAGTGGGAGTTATTCACTTAAAAAAGGCAAAAAAGAGACAATTTTAAATTAATAGGGGCAGAGCAGGTGTTTTGCTACAGAAGCAAACTAGAGTTGGTGGAGCTTGTTCAAGTTGATTTACTTTTTCCATAATCTTTTAGTAATAAACGGTGAAAAAGCCACCTTGGAAACACCAACATTTTCTCAGAAACGTCAGCGCACTCTAGACATGCTGATCCGCTCTTTATACCAAGACATGATGCCTGACCTACACAAGGGAAATGTAAGTCAGAAGTTTCTGCATCCCTCACATGTGCTGTCCTGTTCTATCTAGTAGCTTGAATGTTCTGTCACTTTAAAGGACTGTAATCCTAAAGAGCACTGAATTGCATAGGATTAAGCTAAATTCTGTTTATTGTGTAACTTACTTTACAGTTATATGAAAGCTGACAGACAGTCCTTTTTGAACAGGACTCTTCACCAGGTGTGAGGAGAAGCATAAAAATGTCATACTTCATGTAAGCTTACCTGTGGCAAGGGAATAGGGAATTTAGGTACTAAAAATACAGGCATTAGTCTCATCACCATAAAATATGCATTTGTTCCCTTATGTGTAAATTTGGATGATTCTTACCCCTGGGTAGCTATGAAATAACTTTACTTTGGATGATTAAGACTTACTCTTAAGGTGATTCTTAACTAACTAAAAATAAGTTCAGTACTTCTAAAACTAACAAGGTGCTATTTTTTTCGACCAATGTTTATTTCTTTTATCTATATAGATCTGCTTAAACTTTTCTTTTTCATATATTCATGTCACATATTCATGTGGTATGACTGTACACAGAACGTGACAGTGGTAAACTACGACAAGTTGCAAGGTAAAGCACTGAAGGATTGGAAGAGTTGCAGTTTTTCTTCCCTGAGAAGCTGTGCAGTTAGAAAGAAACATTTTCTGTTTTAGAACATGCTTAATAGAAGATCCTTCAGTGATGTGTTACCAGAGTCCCCAAAATCAACACGGAAAAAAGAGGAAGCTCGACAAGCAGAGTTTGTTCGGCTTGGTCAGGTAGGGTCAGTTTAGAAGGTATGCAGCTATCTTTATAAAGGCTGTGTCACTCCTTTTGTTAGACTTTGATTACCTTGCAGTTATGTCGGGATTTAGTGCAGTTTTCTGTGACCGGAACTAGTTTTGTAGTATTACATTATTGTAAGTTACATTAAAATAAAACATGAATAGAAGTATTTATCTGTAACATCTGAGGTATATATGTACAAATATTGATATTGTACATGAGTTAAATGAAGGTTGTAAAAATTGTACCTGAAGAGGATGCCTGGCAATATATGTAGACAGACATATATATAGTTTGCCTTAGTGTTCGTTAGAAGGTTTTGCAAATCTAAGGTAAGTTTGTGTAATTGACAAGAGGATCCTCTATCTGGTTTCATTATAAAGTAAACTGTGTAGATGATTAAATTCTGTAGTTTGAGGTGGAGGTTTTTCTCTGTTACTATGTTTGACTCTTCTTTTCTGAGTTGCCATTTAGAAAGCAAGTAAACAAAAAAAAAACCCTAACCAAGAAACAGCCAACATAGGTTTTGGCTGAGAGGATACCTAGTAACCATGTGACGTTGCTGAGGATAGAGAATTCTGCTTCTTTTTTCGTTACTTAAAGTGGCATAGGAATTCCAAACTGGAATCACTTTCTAGTCCTAAATTGTCCTTTTAATATAGTCTTTAGTTTGGGTATTGCTGACAAAAACTCAGTTTAAATAAAACATCTGTTTGTATTAGGCGTTGAAATTGAAAACCACTGTGAAAGGGGATACCACAGCTAACTTGGCAACCACAAGCTTTTCTAAAAAGGAGGTGAGTAAATTTGTCAGAGAAGTTATGCAACATTAAACATTATCTAGTATGGTATATATTTATTTACTTCCCTAACTAGATCCTGCAGCAGAAAAGATGAAAGGTACAGTGTCAAAGTGATTCTGCAGTCACTATTAGATTAATAAAGGATGATCTTGGGACAGAAGCACTTCTCGAGTTAAAGCAAGTGTGGACATTTTTATACCTGAGAAAATTTGATGAAGGTGACATCTTCCATGTGCAATCATCTTTTATTTTAATTTCAGCACATTTGAAACAAGATTCAGAATGAAACGCAGTTGTGTTTTCATTTCCTTTTATTTCATTTGGATTTTCTTTGAAGTCATTAGGGAGTGAAATATGCCAGCTGCACTCTTCTGTGTGCGTTTTATGTACAGAAGCTTCAGAAGTGCTTCTAGAATTTCAGAGATTCCAACTAATATATAAATTGTGAGAGGAGGGGCAGGCTCTGGGAGGTAAGTTCAGAGAACACAGGATGGAAGAACAATTTGGCAGAAAGGCAGTTTTAACTCTACCATGTGCTAGTCACTAAACATCACAAACTGAACCGTGAAATGTAAGCAAACTGCGTATGCGTAGTGGTACAGACATTTTAACTATATAGCTTTGGGATTTTTAAAGGAAAAAAATTACTGCATGATGGTTGCACTGAGTTTCAGCTGCATGTGTTTTAATTCTAGCATTTCAGGTATGTGTCTTACACTTATTAGTCTCCAAACCAGAATTGATGCAGAAAGTCCTCTGCGAGAAAATTATTTCAGTTTTGATATTTCAAATTCCAACAATATACTGTTTGGAAATGTATCCTGCCAAAAGCATTGATGTTATTGCCATTGTCCATCACATTCTGTGTCTGTATTATCTGTATTTTTTAGTGTACTTAATATGTATCCCTTATGTTACTTCATAGCCTTGGGAATCTCAGTCTTTCTACAGTAATTTTCCTCATGAGGTTGTCTGTGCAGATTCTTGGGGCCAGTCCTTGCTGGTTTCTACAGATGCTGGCATCTTGTTAATAGATGGTTAGTAAATGATCTAGTGTTTTTGTGACAATTTTTATGTATCTGACCATTTTCTCGAAAATGTGTGTTCATAAACTGTTCAGGTGTTAGTAAATCTTTATGTAGGGGTATAGTTACTAATCCAAGTAAATCTATTACATTTATGTAACCTAGTTGCAAAAGTTCGTTCTGCAGTAGAATCAAGCCACATTGGGGAGCTAGTGTTAATGCAGATTTCTGAATGTGTTCTTATTTCAGATGTTGTTTTCTTGACCATCTTAAAACCTGTAGGAGGTCACATCCAGGTTCAAGAGGTGTCTAAATGGCTTGTCTGGTTTTCTTAGCCCTTGATAATAGTGAGCATGAAGCCAAGGGCTTACGTGACAACGAAATCCTACTTCTTCCCTTAGCAATGATATTGCTACCCTGACCCCTTTATAATCCTTTGTGTGCTACGTAAAGCCAGTGAGATTGAGGGAGTGAAGTTAGTGCTTGGTCATAATTCTCAAACTTGCCAAAGGAATGTCGCTTTTAGATTTCAAACGCTTAATCTGATTCATGACAATAATAAAACTCTCCTGTGAGGAAGTATTGACTGTGATGGTGTGGCACATGTAGGAGCTTTGTGTGGTTCTTTTTGGGTTTTTTTTCCTCTTAATTTTTGTAAGAAAAAAACCCAAGACTTTAATTAGAAGAAAGAAATGGTTCAAAACCAGCATCTAGCAAGTTTTAGTAGGGTTTTGAAGACATGTGTGTTTCTTTTTTAGATGGTCAGCCATCAGTGCAAGTATTTGATAAAACTCTCCAAATAAAGCAGATGAATGTGTTGGAAGCTCTGGATCTTTTGATTGCCCGAACAGACAAAGGTAGGAGAGGTCCCTGTTCTTGGATTCTTGCATGATTCCAGATATTGCTGGATATATATGTCTCATGATAATTTTGTCTTGTTTAGAAGGCTTAAATGTGCATAAAATGTGCAATTTTTTAGTGAGGTAGTTTTTACCCAATAAAAGAGTAGTCTGTGATTGAGTTTCATAAAGGGAAAATACACAAAGCAAGATCAGGATCTTTGTGTATAACTCGGGAAAGCATTACAGATATGGTTGGTTTATTATTTTTTACCCTGTTGTGTCTATTTCCTCAGTATTTGCTGAAGTTCTGCTTACCCAAGCTTTGGGAAAAACATGGTTCCTTCTGTATCACTGGGAGTTGCCCAGTTTGGTTGCATCTGGTGAAATTCACCCTGAGATCTTACAGAGCTAGCTCAAACTACATGAGAGCCATTTGCAGTTCTCTCAAGACACCTGGAGAATGGCTGACATTTCTGAGGATCTGGCAAGTGTAGTTATATCAAAACTTAGTTTGTGAAATTTCTAGAAAACACCCTTCTGTATCCTGAAGGGTTCAAACTCTGAGGATCCAGTTATCAGTTTCTCAGCTGGATGGTTCCAGCTCTTAAAGTTAACCCTTTTACTCTTGCCTTGTAGTTTATATCTATTGTATTTTTGTTATTTTGCAATATTTTGTATATTTGCAAAATATTGTGCATTTCACTGTTGGGAAGCTCTCAGATCATTCTTTGGTGCAGCACCACCTAATGGGAAACTCGGCCACTGTGCTGAAAGGGTTGGTTACTAGAACTGTAAATCCTAGAGAGTTCTTAAGTTTTCTGTCCCCAGAGAGGTGTTATTTTGCTCTGTTTGTTGCTTCTCGTCGGAAGCATTAATTTCAAACTACCACGTTCTTTTTTTAACTTGTTTTTTCCTGGTTCTCTCCATACATCAGGGAAAGACTCTCGTATCCTTGTCTTCAGACTCAGTGCTGTCCAAAAAGATATAGAGACAAAAAAAATTATAAGAAGCAAATATGACTGCAGAGAAAATAAACTGGAGAGAACCAAAGGTGATACTGTTGTCCTTATCCTGTGTTAAAAACATCTACTGTGCTTTGATGCTGGTAGTTGCCAGGAGTTTATTAGCTCTCTTTGGGCAGGTGTAGGTGTTCGCTTTTAGTTTTTTCTTTGGACAAGTCAATTCAAATTTTGTTAAACTTATATTTGAAAATTACTCTAGTACAGTCCGGCATGACGTTTTTGAATGTTGTAAAAATACCATGTTACTTGGAAATTGCAGATGATGAAAAGCTTTAGAGAAAAATAGGATTTCAGGGTTGGGACAAATGAGAAGAATTTTGTGGGGATCTTAGACTGAAATAAAGCACACTTTAAGCTGGACTGGCACACTGGTACATCCCCTATTAAACAGTAGTGCTTAGATTAGTCTGGGTGTTATGCGTTATTTTTGTAGAAATAAATGTTTCCTGGTCTTCAGAAGCAAGCTACTGTGAAAAGCTGGACGTTGCAGAATAGTGACAATCCATGTACTTCGGATTAAGGATAAAAGTAGATTTCAAAAGGGTCATAGGCTTTTGTCTTTTCCTGGAAGTCGATGTAATCCTATTGAGGAGTTTTTAATTCTGTGTTGCCAAGTCATCCATCAGAGCCCTGTTTTATTAATCATCATACAAATACAGAACAAAAAAATCAGACCCTATCCCAACCACTTAGAGTCTAGAACATTATTTCCTCAGGCTGCCATTTGTATGCCATTAATACTCACCATGGAAGCGAACTGAGGATTGTTGCAGCTATTCGGAACAAACTGCTTCTGGTCACAAAGAAATATAATTCGGATGACACTTCAGTCAGCACCTCACTGCTATCGTCTCCTGAATCTCCAGTAGAGGAGTTCCAGTACATCCGGGTATGTGTAATCTAGTTACTAATTATCTTAACACACTGAGCAGCAGTCAGCTAATGTGGGGGGTGCAGGGAAGGCAGAGTATGCATTGTCGTCTTCCTGAACCTACAGACAAATAAAAGTGAGAAGCCAGATGGTGCAGATCAGTTATATATGCTAAATAAAACTTTCAGGTTTTTTTAAGAATTGTTTCTGCTTGTTCTTTGTTATGCTTCTGTGCTTAGAAAACATCCCTTTAAAGTCATAGAGTACCTGCAGCACCCACAGTAGGAACTTGAGAAAGAGTGTAATTCTATTATTTACGTTATAGGAAATATGCCTTTCTGACCCTCCAGTGGTTATGACACTGGTGGATGGACCTACTGGAGACAGTGACAATATGATCTGTGTAGCATATCGGCATCAGTTTGATTTAATTAATGAGAGTACAGGGGAGTCCTATAGATTGCATCATGTTGAAACAAACAGGGTAAGTTTTCATCATTGAAACTTTTTTTGTAGACCCCCACTGAGCATAGTTTGTTGCAGACTCATTGCATGCTATGCTGACTTCCTAGGAGTGTAATTTATGGAGATGCTCATGTGTGCTACTTTTCACTTCTATAACCACTGCTTTAGGACATTCTGAGATATTTATTCCTTTTGGGATACATGATGATAACTCCCAAGAGAGGTAGTTATAACATGTGATATGGGGAAAAAGCCTGTGTTTCAGGCTCTGGAATGTTGTTGTCAAAAATTAATTTTTCTGCTTTCTTAGCCAGTAGTTAGCTTTTTGCTTTATTTTTGTGGTATCAGTATTGTTTAAAAAATTGCTTCAAAATAACTTGAATGGTTGACCACCAGTATCTTATTCAGATTTTCCTATTTGCATGTAACTAAAAAATTTATATATAGTTTATCATTCTATTTAAGAAACTGCTGTCCAGTCAACTGATAACTGAATATCTATCTGTCTAGGACATAGGCGTAGGATTTAGGCAATGTCTTTGTTTTCAGAAAAAACTTCCAGTATAGTTTCTAAATAGGGATGTGGATATGTAGCTTTAGACAAATAAAAAAAAAAAAGGGGAAGATTTTGCACAGGTAATCTGTTGCTGTTAATGAGATAAGTGACGACTTTTTTCATGTGATGCTTCCTGACAAGTTTGGTTTTTTTTAAATCGTGTCTATTTTTATTTGGATCTGGTGATGAAGAGGTGCTCCTGGCATGGTTGATCAACTGTAAATGTCTCCACAGCACTGGGAATCAATCTTAATCTGGATGAAGAGGAACTAGAAGTAAAGAATGGGGTTGGAGAAGTACATTACCATCACCATCCACCCATTTCTTTTCCACACCAGAATCCTTATTTCTTTCAGGAAGACAAATAAAGCAGACAATTAATAGGAGCTGAGCTAGTGATTTTTATAGTGTTGAAATGGGTTGCCTGCTTATTTCTCTGGACAACAGAGCAGCAACGGCTTTCAGTCACTACAAAAGACAGGTCAAAATGCATTTGGTATGATGTGTAAACGTTCAGGTTTTCTTAACGGTTCTTGACCTGCACAGTAATCTTAAATGAAGGAAAGTCATGCTGTTCATGGAATCAGACTCTCAGCCTTCTCCCTGTCCAAGTAGTATGTATGGTTTGGGAAGCATTTGTCTAATGTAACCTGATGCATTTCACTAATAAGATCTCATTTCCTGAACAGATATCCTACTTTTTGTGGCTGTTTTGGTTTGTTTTTAATCTAAAAGACAAAACCAAAGTTGAATTAAGAGAATTTATGTAGCCTAATCTATGTAAAAAATACTGTGGTTTAACCAGCATTGCTTCTCAAGTTGTAAATTCGGACTGTTCAGTAATCCTTAGGTACATCCCTGTTGACCTCTGTAAATGTTAGTGGTTTTGAACCAGTAATTGTTGTATCTGATCTTTTTGCTAGTCATGATGTGCATTTGAAGATCACTTTTTGAAAAGAATTACTATCTTTAACGTAGCATGTTGATTCATAGCTTCCTGAAATCATCCTATTTCCCAAAATTTGTATTGCTAAATAAGTTATATGTTTTTATTGCTTTACACTGTGGTATGGTTATGAATGTTCGATACTGCACAGAACCAAATACAAAGGAACTAATTTTCATCTTGAGAACATCCTGAAAATTACATGACAAAAGAAGCTATTTTTATAATTTTTTTCTCTCTTTTTTTTTTCCCTTTTATCTGTGGTTGTGCACTTCCCCAGCCGATTGTATTGCTTGTTAGTCACAACCCAGTTGTAATAACCACAGTATCTTCTGTCTGTTTGTTAATCTTTTCCGTTATCATTGCAGGTTAATTTTGTTGCAGCTATTGATGTGTATGAAGATGGTGAAGCTGGTCTACTGTTGTGTTATAACTGTAAGTGTTTAGGGAAGGCCAGAAATGGTAATAGCTCAACCTGCATATGTAGATCTTCTTTTATTGGAGTCTAGGTCTGTATCTGAAAATAAATGTTAGCGTTTCATTGAAAGTTTGTCAAAATACATTCTTTGGAATTTAAATGCATTTTGGAGAAATTACGAATGCAAGTATTTTAGTCGTACTAGCTGTTTTATAGATGTGCAGGTTATGTGATTCGTGAAATCTTGGTATCTGTAATAACCCATGTGCATAATAGTCTTCAAAGAATGTCAATTACATGAACATATGGCTACTTGAAGGGCAGAGAGATACAATTCTGCAGACACTGCTTTCTGAATTTTTCTTGTCTGTTTCTGTATCTATAGACAAGTTAGGGACCTGGTAACTGCTGATACAGTAATACTTACTTTGTGAAATAAAACAGCTTATTAAAATGTAGGTCTTTTATTTTGGTCTTTCCAGTGTGTTCACAGTGAAAGCAGCTTTTGCTTAGCTGTTTGGCTATAGAGGGACTTTTACATGAATATTTGATTGTGTGTGAATAATGTCCACCCTTCTGCAAAATCTCCCTATGAAATGGGTGGTGGTCGCTTACCATGTAAAGTGATGGATGCTTCTTTTTTCTATTTTGCTCCAGATGTTTGTCAATACAGAAAGGTATATCCTTTCAGTGGAGGTTCTCCACTTGTCCAGCCATCAGCTTATGACTTCCACTTCAGCTGGAATCAAGTTCCTTATGCTGTTGGTAAGAAAATATCTCTTTTTAGTAGATTTTTTTTTTTTTTTCACTACTGTTTTTGCCTGCACTTGGCTCTGGTGGAATTCCACCAGAGAATCTGGGAATAAGCATGTTACGTTCATGATGCCACTTGACTTAAGTTTCTGGTTAATTTTGAAAAGTGAAGCCTTGGTAGCAAGTTCATCCTTTGTTGAACTTTTTTCCCCTTTCTTTTTTGTGTTTCTCATTTTCCATTCCCTCTGTATTCTGCCAGGCATGAAGAGTGAAATTTTCGTCAGGCTCAATGTAGCTCGGTGTACACCAGTATGTTAGACAACACTTTTCTTAAGAAAGGAACATGTCAGAAGAGATCAAGAACAGTTTTCGTGGAGCATCCAAGAAACTTTTGCTTTAACCATTTTTCCTTGCCAAATAACTTCTATTTTGTTGCAGTCTGTGCTTTCCCTTATGTTCTTGCCTTCACTACTGATTCCATTGAGATCCGATTAGTGGTGAATGGGAACTTAGTCCACACAGCAGTTGTGCGTGAGCTTCAACTTGTAGCATCAAGGGTAAGACAGAAAAAATCACGTTTGACTATTTCTGTGATATATTGGGATCTAATTAACATAAAAAGTTGCTGCTGCTAAAAACATAACAAACAAAACCGAAATACACGCTTACTTTATCTGCAATAATTTTTTGTGTCTGCTCCTAGTTTATATCAACGACAAAGAGAATCAGAAGATGGTTAAGAAAGTCTCACAGTATTAATGATGGGTTATTTGTCATTTCAGTCGGATATTTATTTTAAAGCTACTGCTGCAGTAAGTGGATCATCTGACAGCAGCTCTAAGGAAATGAGTTCAAAGAGTTCTCCTCAAACACCAACAGCTTACGAAAAGCCAGAATTATCTCTTCCTTCTCTAGAAGGTAATGCGATCTCTGATCGTTCCAACAGTTACCAAATCTTGGTGCGGCTGGTCTTATGTAAAGATGGTAAAAAAATGTGAGTTCCTGCCTGAAAGTGTGAAGGACAAGAGATTCTCTATTTTCCACTCATATAAAGCACTCAGCTGAGCTTTTGTACTGTAGTATCTTTTCTGAATACATGGTAGCATTGTTCTGAAGAAATAAATTCTGTAGGAAGGGAGAAATTAAACCTCAATATCCTGATGACTCTTTCGCAATGTGACCACGAGTCATAATGCAAAAAGGGGCATAAAATTGTGAGAAAACTTGACATTTCACATACACTATTCCGTTCATTAAAGAAAAGCTGAATAACCACTGAATGGCTGAAGCTGTTTTGCAAAATAAAAGTAAGAAGCCTTGAAAAGCTTTGCACAGACAATTTAGTGTAATATGATCTACGAACGGTCAATCTATAGTGTAACAATAAAGGAGAAGCGAGGGAACATCCGCTAAATAATGGAAGATGTGTGTACACCTTTCTTCCTTAAATCTGCTGCTTTACTGTTAGCAGATAGGAAAAGGAGAAGGTAATCACAAATTTCTTATTTGATGGTAAGTTTGGGACTTTGGTTTGTTTTTCTTCTAGGAATTAGGAAAACATGGTACTTTATGTTACCTAAGAGGAGGAGTCATAATTTAAATCACTTGGGATCCAGGCTCCAATATGTTTGCAGTATTTTAAAACACACAGGAAGTACTGCACAGAGTGCAGTGTAATAGTCAGAGTACCAGCTGCAGGTCATAAAAATTCACTTCCTGGTTCCGCTCCTGGTTCATCGGGTTGCCAAGAGTCAATCTTCATTTTCTCTTCAAATCAAATTGGTTCTATTTCTTCCTTCTCCTAGCTTATTTGTATTGAAAGATATCTAGAGCAAGAAAGAACTTTGTCATTTCAGTTAAAAAGTGCCCAGCTCAAGTATAGCTTGTATTTATAACTCTTCATTTGGAATTAAGAACTGATTCTGTTGTGCGAGTGTAATATTCTTTTTTCTTTCTGTGTTTCAGGTGAAGTTCCATGCAAAAACCTGTACAAAATACCTCTCAGCAATCTGGTTGGGCGAAGCATTGAACGACCTCTGAAGTCACCTTTGGCTCCCAAGGTCATCACTACTACATCGAGTGGCATTACCTCTCTTCCAGTTACGCACTCACTACCTTTATCTCGTATGGAAATTAAAGAAATTGCAAGCAGAACACGTAAAGAATTGTTGGGTAAACTCTCCTCATTCCTCAGTGTTACATATCAATTGCCAAACATATACTTTCTAATCTTTGCACCATCACGGGTAGGTTTGTAACATGCAGCTAGTATTCATAAATTATTAAAATAAAAAAAGGAAACAGTGAGGAAGCGTTATTTGCAAATAGTATAGCCATTGTCTGATCACGTATAAGATGGCCATATTCTAAGCTAGGTAGAAATGATTAGTAATGTAACCCAGCAACAGATACCTTAGCCTTTTCATGAATACTTTGTTTTCATGAATACTTCGTTTTCTGTTGAAAGTATTAAGTCTTATATTCCTTTATTGAGGTCTCTTGGATGAGCCTATACCCAAGACAGAAAGTGCACAGAAGCTGAAAAAGGTTTCTCGAAGACAGTCAGACCCTAAGCAGGGAGCTGTAAGATCATCTAGTAGTGACAGGTAAATATACTTTAGAAAAGAGCCTAAGTTAGACTGCAAATATTTTCAGAATTGATTGCTCATGCTTATCTCAGTTGGCATAAGGCTGACTGAAACCTACGTATATCCATGTGCATTTTATGCTAATGTGTTTGTTGAAGTATCAGAGTACCATAAGTACTGAAGCAGTTACACTTTTTGCTAAAGACATGTTAATGAGCAAGCCAAGACTAAATGGCGTTTCGTGGGACCTGCTGCAGCTGAACCTGTTATAAAGATTTGGACTACTGCAGCTGCATTGTGCAGACTCTCTCGTTTTCTTTGTATGCTCTTGTGTTGGTATTTTCAGAATAAATTTTGTGAAAAAATACTGCGCATATGTCTGTTTGGCACTCTCCCAAGTTTGCCCTGAACCCGGATACCCCAGTGCCATTCTCTTGTTTTCATTGTTTCCATAACCTATGTTTGTGTAGAGTACTGGCAGAATACAGAATACTGGCAAGATACAGGAGACTGAGAGTAACAAAACAAAAAATATCTTGCAGTGTGAAGCTATGTTCGATACATTTTCCTACTTGGAAATTATCTGGGTGAGGGCTTCATTAATACTGCCTTTTGATTATTTTTAGTAGAGTAAAACAGGAGGAAACTTAGTTGTAATGGTCTGTGTGTCTTTAGGATAACTTGATTGAATCTAGAGGTAGCCATTGTTCCTTCCTGTCCATGTGTGGTTTTTTAGTAACTTTTGTCTTCCTCTCTGCAGAATAATCTCAAGCTCGTTTGAAGGCTATTCTGAAAGACGTCATTTTTCTACTAGTTCAGATCCTGATACTTCAGCAAACAAGGAGGAGAGCTCACCATCTAGCTATCCATTTCAGCTGATTTCTTTATATGATGAAGACATCATTGACTTAAAATGAAGACACTTTTAAAACCCTTCTTCCTTACTTCACATTTTCTTACAGCTCTGTAAGCTCTATGGCAATGTCACAAACACTGCTTCTGGTAGTAAAATGTGGCTGAAGTACTGGTGATAAATCCTTATGGAACCTGTGTTCTGGTTAGCACACCCTGATTTGGCAATGCTTGTATCTTTGACGTAGGTATGTTTTCTCAGTTAATGAAGCATTATACTTTTCATGGCATTCTAACAGTAGGTAATCAATGGGAGATTTAGGCTGAAACTCAAGTAAACAAAAAGTATTACTTGTTCTAAGCTTCTTATAATTTGACTCACCTAAATGACATGCAGCAAAGTTAATTGCTGTTATTACTATCATGAGTTGTTTTACAACAGTGTACGTCATGTTGGAAGAGGAATTTTATAACACAGACCACTACTTTTGGTTTTTCGGTCTTTAAAAAACAAAACAACAACAGTGACAAAAAAAAGGCTTGCAGGCAAGGTCATTTCAAACACTGGAGTCAGGCCCTAAATTGATGTATCTGTGGTATGTTCACTGAAGAATCAGGTGAGATATGAAGATGGTGTTTCCTTGGCTCATTGCTTAGAGAAACTTGAAAACACTTTTGGCATAAAGAATCTCTGGGCAGAGAACCTTTCTATAGGACACACAAACTTCCAGAATATTTCTTAAAAATTGGAAACTGAAAAAACTAAAAAACCACAAACAAATAAAAAAATCCTGAAACAAAAACTCCGGTCCATCAACTGGAAAACTCCTATTGTAGTGCATCTGCAGATGTTTCCATTACAGGCAGAAAAGGTGACCCAAATTGTCTTTGACTACAAAAAGATTCTAATGCAGAGGTCATCATTACCTGCTGTCTGTACTTGCACCAACAGTATAAGTAATGATTTCAGATAGTTGTATTTTCTAACTGGATGCAGACTGAAATTTCAGTGGTAATAAGGTCTTCTGTGATGCAACAATGATCTTGTCTCTTACTGTGTTAAAGAGGAGTTTATATTTAAAGTTTGCTTTTTTTTAACCCTTTCCTCTAGAACACCTTTGCAAGGATTTTGTTTGGTCGTGGTTTTTTTTTTTCATGAAAGCCTTTATCTATGATGTTTTTAGCTTTATTAGCAAGTGTTTCTTGTTCTAAATGTAGAAATACTTCTGTATCCTTGATTTTATTTCATAATACCACCCATGTGTCATGATTTCACTTTTATTCAAGCATGATCATCTGGAGAAGCATGCCTTTTGCTGCCATCTGTCTGAATGTAAAACTGGTTTTGCAAAGTGATTTTTTTTTCTGTTTGTTGTATAATATGGCTGAATTGCTTCGCTTAAGAAAATATGCAAGGTCTTACCTGGAATCATAATTTCTTACTCTCAACTGGGGTAGCTAATCAACAGAAGAAGCAGTATTTTCAATAGTAATTAGTCTAGGAGCAGAAGGCTATTATTACTTTAGTGGGTTTTGCACTCATAAATGTGTGGGGTGAACCTTAATAAGCATCTAAAAGGAAGTACCAGATTGAAGTATTTACCAAAATTTGTAATTATTTTTTGAGAATGTTGTTTGCAGAGACTACCCTATCCTTATTTATTTGGACAGATAAGGTTTAAAGAAAATCAATCTGAAAGTACCACATTGTACTTATTTTCCTGGAAGTTGTAAACACTTCTGAATCCACTTTTGGAGTCACTGCTGACACATATTTTTAAAAATGAAAAGAACCAGCTTTTTCCAAGAACAGCTCTCTCAATGTAGTATTTGATTTCTGGTTTGTGCCTATTTTTGAAGACTATCAGTATGTTGCAAAACTGGGGCTTTAGTTAAAATTTTAACTGGAAACTTTGCTTTACCCTGTTAGGATACTGGATTTTAAATATACTGCAGATGTTCACCTGTGCTATCACAGCACGATTTAAAATTATTAACTATTGTTTGATAGCAGTTGAAACAATATATGGAGATTTTTAAACTTGTTTTGAAGAACCTGAGCAAACACATACTTACGTATCCTGAAAGACTAGCCTTAGAGCTGGAGCACTAGGGAGAACAAGAAGAATGATAAAAGCTTGACAGAAAGCTTGACAACTGTCTATGATGGTAGTCAGAATGCATACAGATACAGCATTTGCATTACATCGTAAACATGATTATAGAAGAAAGGGCTATAAAGCAAGAGTTATTTTCTTGAATCAGAAGTGCAGCAGTGGCTGTAAAGTATTACCATTAATTAAGAGAGTGTTGGGGGAGTGGGAATGTGTCTGTGTGTGTGAGAGAAAGACCCTTTGAAGGTTTGCCTGTAATTACAGCATTGATGACATCTAGCAAATGAACTATAAGGAGTACAGATACTGGATTACTGAAGCACAATACCAGATCATACTGGCTTCATGATACATACCTGGAACAGGATATTGGTATCATTTGAAGAGGGAAGCCCAGCAACTGCATCCCTGCCCACCTGCCCCAGCTGCTTTTATGCTATAGCATGACTTAATGGGTCTGGTACAAGCTACTAAGCAAGTCACACTGGGAACTACCAGACCTTAACAGACTGTTGCTCATATAGGAGAGGAAGGAGCTGAATCCTGAGAAAAAATTAATGTCTTCATTCTTAATGTATCCAGTAAGTGCCTTGTTAAGTTTTTGCTTCTGTACTTAGAGTGTCGTAGAGGGATAATATCTAATGTGGCAAAAGAAGTAGAGAGCGATACAACATTTTGTTTGGGTTATGTGACACCTAGAGTTCGTAGCTGAGGCTTTACAGTCATGTATATGTCGTTTACTACCTAGTTACTGTATGAGAGCAACCCAGAACATAGGTAGAAGGCAGAGAACATGGAACTAATATTCCAGTTTTATTTGCCACAAGCCACAGGAACCAAATTCTGTGAAGTTCTTTATCACATTTATTGTATCCAAAAAAAAAAAATTACCAACACAATAATGTGAAATTGCTAGTGTACACAACCTTGTACAAGGATGTGGCTTCTTTGAGTTTTTAGTAGTCTGAACAGACAACTATGATTTCCATGTCTCTTCATGTGAGGAGAACTAGCTTCTATCTCAAAACATCATCCTTACTATACAGACCGCTAATTAAAACTAGAGGCAGTTGGTGGTATTGATACTGAAGCTCTTGTGCATCATTTATAAAGGGCACAGTTCTTACACACCTGTGGAACCTCTCCTTCTTAAGACTGGCGTAAGATGACAAGGCTTGTGGGAAGGCTGCTGGGATGGCTGTAGTGTTGTTTACTCCAGCGTTGGAGCCATGTTGTTTGCCCTCTGTTTTTCCAGCATGTGCATGCATATACTTTCTAAAACTTAAAAAATAGTCTTGGGCACAAACTGTAGCCATGTCCACTGTAAGCACAAGCCTTTCTGCTTTCACATCAGACGTTCAAGCTGCCTGTAGGCTACATTCTTGGTGCTTGCTGATCATCTCATGGTTAGGAGAAAAGATAATCTTTGAATCTACTATGTAAGATGGGTGTTGTTCTGAATGGAAAACAGAAAAATGTTGCTACAGATGGACGGAAGGAAGGAATTATTTCTGTGAAGGAAGAATTGTTACCAGATTGAACACTTGCTAAGGCTAAGTTTAACTGAAGGCCCATTCTGGACTCTTGGCTAAGTTTTTGCAATAAATACTTTCTGTCCCAATGTGCTGGATTTGTAGGCAACAGCAGGACTCTTAACTCCTCCTGGCTAAATGGTGTTGGTCACCACTTCATCCCTGTGCCTTAGTTTGACTAAATTAGAGGAATGTCATTTACATTGGTGCAAGCATTAGATTGTAAGGTAGTTAATTTAGAATGTACTTATGTGTTCTCACCAGCATGGTTAATAATGCATGGAAACACAAAATAGTTGAGGGTAGAAAGGACCACTATGTTATCATGTATTTCATTACACACACCTGTGCACCACCATTCAAAAATCTGTTCAAAATGGATATGCAAGATTTTGGGCTACTTGTCATCTTTGTCATGCATTTGAATTACAGCAAAACTATCACCACAACTTTGAAGTGTAACTAGAACTTAAGAACCCCCAGACACATAGCTAAGTTAATTCACACATACACAATATGGAGCCCTTAAGGCTTTGATGAGCTGTTTGCAAGGTCCCTAAAGCCCCGTTTGGGCTTTAGAAGCCAGTACAAAGAGTAATTTTTGTCCAGTTCCTTATTCCAGTGGCAATCCAGTACACATAAATATTTTAAATATGTTCAAAAGTAATGAAACACTTCCACAGTACCAAGAGAACTGCTGTCTAGGTTCAGTGAATGCACGCATACATTCAGTTTCCTGCTTTGCAAAGAAGTAAGGCCTATTCTAATTACAGTCCTTTACTAGTTTGGGGGTGTGGCAGGGATTCTTGGCTTGGTTTGTGTGGTTTCTGGAGGCTGGTGGTATGGGCAGGTTTTTTGTTGGTTTGTTGGGATTTTTTTTTTCAGGTTTTGGAGGGGTGTCTGGCTGGGTTTTTTGGTTGTTTGGGGGTTTTTTTTGGTTGATTTTTGGTTTTTTGGGGGTTTTTTGTTGGTTTGCTGTTGTTTTTCAATGCATAACATACTTGCAAGTATGCACCTGGAATGATCAACAGGTTTATTCTCTGCCTTCATGTGATTATTTCTATAAATGTGCATGTAACTTGTAATTGATAGATTCAAATTGAATTTTTTAGTACTTGACAGTAAACAGAATAAATATTTAAACAGTACTTAAGAGGGCAGGGAATGGGTAACGTTATTGCTTAACTAGTTACATATGGTTAAGGTTGCTACTCCTGACATATATTTTCTGCTGTTCTAAGTGTATTTGACCAGTAACGGCTGGCTCAAACATGTTTTTCTAAAGGTGTGGGTCTATAACTTGTCCTTACAGATGCAGTGGCTTTTCCAGAGCTGTTGGCTTAGTCTGCATTTGAAATCTATAACCCTTTTCATTTGGATTTGGTTTTTACTATATATACATATATAGGTGTATATATATTTGTAATTTCTACTGTAAATTTTCAGGGATTAAAAATCCCGAGTTATATATATAGGAATTTAAAGTAATAGGATCATAAAAGGCAGGGGAAGGGAAAATCCCATCAGTAAGTGATAAGGTATTTCCAAATAATTTCTGTTGCCTTCTGTGTATGAAAATGGGTATCACGCTATTTTCATTCTTAACAATTCGATGTCATGGTTCATATGCACAGTGCTTGCTTATTCTGTTAAAGCACTTGTTTTCTCAGATAGGCTTAATCTGTTTTTGTGAAGGACTAAATTATACTCTGGGGAACCCAATATTAACAATATGGGAAGGCTCAAGAGATTATGCAGCAAACATCTGTACTTGCATGCAGGTTAGAAAGTATTTTTACTCTTATTACTTGAGCACAGCAACTTCACCAGCCTGTATACTGCTTAGCTGCTTCACTTTGTTGCTGACCTGTAACTGACTGACTCCTCTTTGCTACTAGAAGCTGTGGTACTAGCATCTGACTTGAAGAGAAAATTGAGACAATTTTCTGCATATTTACCTGGTTGAATGGAAAATGTTATGTAAAGGTTTATGCATTATCAATCTAGAATGTCAGTTTAATTGTCTTTGAATGGTAGCAGACTGCTTTGTAATTTCATAATGGCATATTGTTAAGACTGTTGCTACGTTTGTGATCAAAGACTCTTTACCATTGGTCCTAAATGCTGATGTATAACCATTGTTTTTAATGTCATATGATAGCATGCATAGCATGCATGGTTTGTATTTTAGATACAACATCCAAATAGAAACAGTCCTATTACATCTAAAACTGTTTTAAGTGCTATTTATCACCTTTGTGAAGAAGAAACGTTATTTATTTCTTCATCTATAATAAACTATAAATTTGACCCCACCTGTTTCTTTCACCTGTTTCACGCACACAGGACTAATGATTTTCAAATTTGCAAAGTAAAAAGATGAGAAATCAAAAAGACAGGATGTAGTACAGAGCAGTGCTTTTTCCATTTGAGTTTTCTGAAATGCTGTATCATACCTATGAGATTGCTGTTTGTGTCTTAAGCTTTAGCCATCTTTGATAAAAGCCATAATCTAGCTTTGGTTTATGTTTCCAGGCATCTTTTAGACTTTTGGAGACCTGCTTCAGTTGGGAATCTTTAATTTGTAAACTAACACGACAATGTAGTTTTTCTCCCTTTCTGGCTAAGTGTGTATTCTTACTGTTTCCAAGACTTCGCAATTCCTTTTGAAAAAGCAATCATCTTTCCTGAAGTATTAGTGACATTCTTTTAAGAGCTACAACCCTTCTTGTGATTTAAATGTATTCTTAGCCACCTTGACAATAGGAAAAAAAACTTAAATCCATGAAAGTCAAGAATTCATCTCCATTTGGGATTAAGACAATTTTGTGGTCAGAATGAACAGAAATAACAGCCACACAAACATCAAATACTGCAGTCTGAAACTAACATTACCCAGGCTATGTTGTGCACCATAAGGAAAAGCAAGAAAATTTTATTTATTTATAAAATTAGATTTTATTTTACATCTTAGAAAAAAAAGATACTGACCCCAATACAATTAATATTCTCACATGGGCATTACAGTCAGTACACTAGGTTAAAAGAACACATGAACTGAAGAAATGAGTGCAATTCACGATGCTTACTATAAAATCCCGAAATTCTTTGGACCCAGGCAAAGGCAAAACCTGCAATTACAAGGTGAAGACAATAAATGCAAGTTAAGTAAGAAAAAGTAAATTATGTCCAGATTAATCAAGTAAGGGGGATGCAGTTTTCACGTTAGATTTGTGCATGGTTCCACCAACACCGTACCTCTGCCAGAAGGAGAGAGAATACTTGATTTTAAGTCAGTATGATAAACACTAGTGCATTTTTCATCATAATAACTACAGGAATATTCTTAACAAACAGAACTTGCTAAAACCTCGGGTACGAGTGGGAAGCGGCGGAACCCAGCAGGCAGCGGGATTCCTGTGCGAAGCGCCCGGCCCGTCCCCGGCGGCCTCTGGCCGGGCCGGCGGAAGCGGCGGGGCACGATGACGCTGGGGTGCGCCGGAAGCCGCCTGACCGTGAGAGCGACGCGTCGGGGAGCGCCTTCTCTCCGGTGCCGGCGGATCGCCCAGCGCGGGCTTGGCCCAGCCCTCCCTCCCTTCAGCGCCGAGCGGTCGTGAGGCCCTAGTCTCGTCTTGAGAGCGACCCTTCTGTCGTGGGTGCCTGGAGGTTGTGGCGCGGGCTGCGGAAGCGCTGAGAGCCGGTCCTGCCGTGGGAGCGATGGCCGCAGGGAAGCACCCGGCCGTGCTGGACTCCGGGAGTCCGCGCAAGCCGTGGCGACTGCCCGCCGACGGACACCCCGCAGCGGGCTGCTACCTGAGGTGAGCGACGCGGAGCTGCCGGCGGGAGCGGCGCTGAGTCTGCAGTCCTCGCCGTGCTCTTTGCGTGCGGAGGTATATTGGGAGCGGGCGGGGAGAGCGGATAGGGCTGGCTGCGTAGCACCTGGAAAAGAGGCTCGAGCACCGGCTTCAGCGGCCTCACAGCAGCCCTTGATTTCAGTAATAGCTTCACGTATTGAATACAGCAAATGCCTTGGGGCTCACGGAGTTTCTATTCGTAGCCGGCCTATTAGAATTTTTTACTTGCTTTAAAGAGAACACGTGCCTGTTTCAACAGCAACTGTATTCACTGCCATATGTGCTGAGGAAAGCCGGTAAGTGCTGTCTGCAGTAAAAGTTACTGTAATGAATCAACATAGTGATTTAATAGGAGCCGCTGCTTCTGTGCATTTGACATCCAGAATCTTCTTGTTTGTTTTATCAACAATTGCATGCCATGTGCAGCCTTTTACATTGGTGACTGTAATTTTCTGTACTCCTATGCCCTGTTAAGAGGTGTACTCTAAGATCTTCTATGATGGTAAAATGTCTGTATAGAAGTAAGCATGCTGTTGAGTCCCACTCAAATACCTCAGTTCTTTCAGTTTGGTAGTGCTGTGAAATTCAGACAGTTATCTAATGAATTAGACCTTCCAGAAAAAATAAATGTATGTTATTTTTTAACTGTTTACCTGATGTTTAACTTCTTAATCAATGTCCCAGGTCACTGAAGGAACTTGAGATGTCACAGGATAGTATAAGTGCTTTCAGGGAGTGGTATTCAATTTCACAGTTAAGTCTCAGTGGAAATAAACTGAGAAAATAGGAAAAAAAATACAACAACAGGATTTTTAAAATGCATTTAGGTCAAAGTGGTGCAGACTCATCAAAACTGATGCTACACCAGCACAAGTTCAGGTCTTTACCTGCGCCAAATAGAAAGATTAGAAAGACTAACGTATCCTCCAACGCAGTTTGTCAGACATCTCTGTATACTTTTTTAAAAACTAACTAGTTACCTGCTTTATATTTAAAATAGTTCAGGAGGAAGGTATGAGTAAATTATGTTAGCAACTAGCTTATCGCTCTGCTTATGTGTTTTGTTTTTTCCTTTTATCAGAATAATCCATGAGTGAACTCTAAGATAGTGTTTATTGGCTGTAATAGGTGTAAAATGTAAACTAACTCCTACCTTATTGGACTCAGAATTTGAAAGTGTTAATCTGAAACAAGAGATATGTTAACATTCATAATGAATGCTAACATTCACTAGCTACATACAATTTACTTGTAAGTCTGCTGTGGGACAAATGATAGTTCAGGGTGCATGCAAAGGCTGAGTCCTAACCTAAAGAATATTTTGAAAGGCATTTGGTCGCTTCAATCTGTGTGTTAACATGCCATTTGGAATACTTATGTACCAGTAATGAAGATGTGATTCATACCTTATTTTCTGAACGGAACTAATACAGTATTTTGATGTATCACAGGTAAATTTTTCCATAACCTTATGGAGAAAAAGGACTTTGAAGCATGGCTTGATAACATTTCTATTGCATTTCTTTCTCTGACGGACTTGCAGAAAAATGAAACTCTGGATCACCTGATTAGCTTGAGTGGAGCAGTCCAGCTCAGGCACCTCTCCAATAATCTAGAGATTCTACTCAAGAGGGATTTCCTCAAACTTCTTCCATTGGAACTTAGTTTTTATCTGTTAAAATGGCTTGATCCACAGACCTTACTCACATGTTGCCTCGTCTCTAAGCAGTGGAACAAGGTTATAAGTGCCTGTACAGAGGTGTGGCAGACTGCGTGTAAGAATTTGGGTTGGCAGATAGATGATTCTGTTCAGGATCCTCTACATTGGAAGAAGGTTTACCTAAAAGCTATTTTAAGGATGAAGCAACTGAAGGACCACGAAGCCTTTGAGACATCCTCTTTAATTGGACACAGTGCCAGAGTATATGCACTTTACTATAAAGATGGACTTCTGTGTACAGGTAGGAAGGACAGACAACTTGGAAGTCTTAAAATTCTTTGTTTTCTCTTCCCCCTCATAAGATTAATGACAATTTGCTTTTCTTTTACCAGACAAATTATTTTCATAGTGTGAATACAGATGATGATTCAAAATTACTTAATTTTTCTATTTTTTAAACATCTGGTGTACTAATAAACTCATTAGTCACTTTACTAAGAACACAAGGAGACCGATGTCTTTGTTGGATAAAGAAATAGTAACAGTAGGGATCATTGTCCCTGCCAATGGCACGGTGGTTGGAACTAAATGATTTTTAAGGGCCCTTCCAGATTGCTCTATGATTTTTATCATGCTGTTACTTTAAGTAAGCCCATTTGAGAAGTACGGGTATGTTAGCTGTCCTCTTAGACGATAGCTTTCAATTAAAAGGACTTCGGGCTGTGAGAGAACTTCCGTCTCCCAGAGCATGGAAGAAAAAGTCATGTCTTCTTTGAAACAAGGCTGTAAGCACTTTCAGTTCCTAACATAAGTGTTTTATGAAGTGCTGTAAAACTAGATTTAACCTTGCTAGTAGTCTGACTTGCACATAATTTCAGCTTCCTCCCTGAAGAGATTTCAATATTTCAGTTTAAACTTAAGTTACAGACAGAACATAAATGAAAGAATAATAACAGAGTTACAGTGAATCGCTGTCAGAGCATGTTCCAAGGATTTTCCAATCATTTGGTATGACAGTGTTATTCTCAATGTAAGTTGGGAATACTGACTTCAGTCGGTCATTTGCTGGTACATTAGGATTCTTACTAGAAGCCAACAACTAGATTCTAGCCAGTGTTTCACTTACCTACTCAGCAGTGAATGTTATACACAGAAAACAGCATTGTCAAAACTTTCTGACAACTTTTGTACTGAAATCCCCAGGAGAGGAAGCAGATGTAAGGAGTCCAGGGTTTTATTTTGCTCTCCAAAGCTAGCAGTTGAAAAAAGAGGAGCTTCAGGCAGAGAAAAGAAAGTGGCAGGATATGAGGCCTGGTATTCATCTATATTTCAAGGTTTGCTGGAACCCTTTCCTTCCTGGAAGAAACTAAAGTTTGCTGTATAGTCAGTGGCTCTGCAAACCTGAGTAATGTGTCACGTGAACTTCCATGCATCTGTTTCAGTAGACACTATCAGTAACAGGTAGTGCCAGAATCTACCAATCTTGCATTTATCCCATTGTTTTATATTCTAGGATCAGATGACTTGTCTGCAAAACTGTGGGATGTAAGCACAGGTCAGTGCATATATGGTATCCAGACACACACGTGTGCTGCAGTGAAGTTTGATGAACAGAAGCTTGTAACAGGATCTTTCGATAACACAGTAGCCTGTTGGGAATGGAGCTCTGGGGCAAAGACACAACATTTCAGAGGACATACTGGTGCAGGTATGTTGAAATTTGAAAATTGTAATTTCACCAGTGAAGTAAGATATATTGTCATCAAACAAAATATAATTTCAGTTAGCTTTTTGCACATTAGCTTTTTTGGTTTGTTCAGCCTCTGTTCTCTGTCACCTGAGTCCCCTCAGTTGCCATCGACAGGGAGTGACTAGAACAGATATACACTTGTCCTTGAATATGCTAAAGCTTAGCCATGTAGCATTTTGCAATTGCATGGGAGTAACAATAAATGCCATGGTTATTCAGTAGCTTCATGTCTCAAACAGGTGCAGATCTCAGGTAGCAGGGCATACATGGCCACGGCCATTTTTTCTGTTCCCACATTGGACATGAGCTTAAAACGAAGAGCAAAATAGGACCTGGGAATTTGTATTTGCATTGCCCTCATAATTAAATTATTTGTCATGTACTTAGAAATACTGTCAGCTCAGCTGTAGTTTGTTTTTTTTTTTTTCCTTGTCTTTATAAAATACACTAATCCTGTGGAATTGTCTTACTAAAACTCTGGAAATAGGAACCACCTTAAGTTACACTTTGCTACAATCCAGCCATAAAGGAAGCACTGATATACATGCTCTTAATTTGGGCAAAAAACCAGTAATTTCACAATGTAAACTTAGGCATCCAGAGCAATAATTCATTTATATAGTTCAAGAACAATTAAAGATGTAGTAGCATATGAATTTAGAAGCTGCTGAATTCATATAGATACTACTAGTGTCTCAGAGAAAAATGCATGCATAGAGACTGGTAGTCCTTATTTAGTTCCTTCTTTGCTTGAAGTTTTTAGCGTGGATTACAATGATGAACTTGATATTCTGGTCAGTGGCTCTGCAGACTTCACTGTGAAAGTGTGGGCCTTATCAACAGGAACGTGCCTGAATACCCTTACTGGACACACAGAATGGGTCACTAAGGTGGGAATATTGATTTATAATTAAATTTTCCACTAAATTTGTAACATGTTCTAAATTTTTATTTCCTAATCCTAATCCTGCATGTAAATTTAGAATCTGAAGAACATCTGGAAATACTACAAAATAACATTTCAACAGAAAAAATATTTAAGCTGTAATTGAACCTTTCAGACCATTGAAGGTATTTCAATTCCAAAGCTGCTGGGCTAATACTAGGAAGCAGTGTTTTGATTCAAAGACTGAATAAAAACTGGTTCTGAAAGAAGAACGGCTTTAAAAGTTTTGTAAAAAATTGGATTATCTTGATAACAAAAATCTGATCATGAAACAATATTTTTCCTCTGGTTATTTCAGAACTTGAAAGATGAAGGGTGTGACTGTAGAGGTGAAATATGTATGTTTGCTTATTAGTACAGTAAATTATCTCTAGTAGGAACAAGAGGAGTGTAAACTGTAGTTTTCCTTCAGTTGCTAAAAAGTATTTGTACTGCCTTTATACACTATGCAGGTGGTCAGTGAAATGAAAAATGCAAATGAAAATTTTGTTTATTTAACAGCATCAACATAAATCATTACTATCCTTCAATTACAGGTCGTTTTGCAGAAATGCAAAGTAAAATCTCTTATGCATAGTCCTGGGGATTATATTCTCCTAAGTGCAGATAAGTATGAAATCAAGGTATGTACCATATATCATGCATGTATTATTTGGTACATTGGGAAACAAAAAGCTTGAGTGATTTGCTAAAGTTTACAAACAATAGAAGGATTTAGTTTTTCCCCACATTTCCCGCTTTAGAGGCTGCATGCAGAACATGTAACTCTTTGGAAGCTAATTTTTCAATGCTAGCCTTAGCATTTAGTTTTAAATGATAGCTCTACAACAATGGTAATGCAGAGAATCTGTGCTTCCAGGTCATGTCAGTGAAGCAGGTAAATGCAAATACTGTTACTGTTGAGGACTTTGGGCTTGGAAAGTGCTGTAAGTTTGTGGCTATAGAAGTGCTTCATAACTGAAGCACTGTTACATTTGTGTCCCAGTTGGATGGTTGATTTTTTTTTCCCATTCTTTAAAGTACCCATTTTCACTGGGAATTTTTTTTGCTAGTAACATGTGCTGCACCAATACTGTAAGACAAGTCACTTGATGTTTGAGGAATTGATGTTCCTACATGAAAAACATAAATATTTCTGAAAAAAACTCATGCACACATTTACCTGATGCTTAAAAAAAGACTGTGAGGCTTGCTCTATTTATGTGACAGTTTTTATGGGTTATAATATGAAGTTTTTATGGTCTTAAACTGTGTTTTAATTGTAGATTTGGCCTATTGGAAGGGAAATAAACTGCAAATGCTTAAGAACACTGTCTGTTTCTGAAGACCGCAGCATCTCCCTACAGCCCAGGCTGCACTTTGATGGTAAATACATAGTGTGCAGTTCAGCACTAGGATTATACCAGTGGGACTTTGCCAGCTATGATATTCTCAGGTAAACTGTTCAGTTTAGGATCAGTCTTCATTAAATAAAAAAGAAGTAATTTACCAGTTTTAATTTACCTTAAATGTGGACCAAAAGCATCTTGAATAAAATCCTGTAAACATTTTGCTTTACACATATCGAGTGGTTTAATTCTAATCTTGTCATTTGATAATATGAATCATTTCATTGTTGTTTTGGTTTCTGGCCACATGCTAGTTCTCTTCCGTATTTTCATTCTGTAAGCTGAAGTGTTTCTGTATAGACTTAAACCAGACTGCAATACTGTAGTTGGGAATGTGGAAATGTAGTGATGCAGAGCTAATGTTACCATGGAGACTGCTATACAGAGAACCAAGCAGGAATTTCTGGGGGTACTTTGATGGGACAAGAAATTAAAAAGACTCTTTTTCCTTATAGTACTACTGATCTGTCACTTCTTCTAATGTTGTGGAATGACAGTGAAATCTATCAGACTGCAATAAGGGACCAAACATGATGGCATTCCATTTCCACATAAAGAATCAGGCTGTATGAGTTGGAAATGGTGGCATCAAAGATAGTTACTAACTAAAGAAAAAAAAAAGCATTTTAGAACTGCTAGCAGACTTCTTAATTCAAATAGCCTGAATAATTGTGGATATTTGAAAGATCTCCAGAAATGCTTCTTATGAGTAAGAATAACTGAGTAATTTCACCTCTTAGTTTACCCTCCCATCTTTCAAAACAGAAAGATGGTCTCTTACTGCTGAGAGCAGATTTTCATCCCCACACATTTTGCTGCCTCAGTTCTTTGCTTTATGGTATGATCAAACATGCAGGCAGTTGTGGAAGACTCAACTCTTCAGTTTCTGTTCCAAGTTTTATTTATTAAGGGAAGACATCATAAAGGTGTTGGGGAACTTAAAAATACTTTTATTTCTCCCCATGGTTAATTTAACATAAAACATCAGTAAAACAGCACTCTAAGGACCAGTCTTGGATGATTTATCTGACCTGCTTATCACAAGAAGGCGTGTCTATGTTTCACTTCTGCCTTTTACAGGGGTGATCAAAAGAATATTAACAGCTTTTACCTCTTAGTGTAAAGATACTGAGGCATGAAATCCCTATGGAAATTTACTGTAAAACACAAGTACATTTGCTCTTTCATTTGTATGTGGAAATGGCTGTTTTTTTCTTGAGCTCTGCAGAATAATCCGCTTCAAACCTTAGCTTTCACTTATGTTCAGATGGGTCTGTCCTGAATGCATAAAGTCAGAAGTGAAACCACAGGCCCTGACTGTGGCTAAGTGTTCAGTTGCTTAAGTTGAAAGATTTGCATACAGTTCTTTCTAAATTACTTCAGAATGATGAATTTAGACGCATTTTTTGTAGACACACAGGATTTGCTTTAGTAATTCAAGCTCATGACAAGGGAGATTCTAACACTGTTTTCTTGTCTTCTAGGGTTATCAAACCTCCAGACTTCTCAAATGTGTCGTTGCTGGGCTTTGGAGAGATATTTGCTCTACTGTTTGACAACAGATACCTGTACATAATGGACTTGAGGACAGAAAAACTGATAAGCCGCTGGCCTTTACCAGAATATAGAAAGTCAAAGAGAGGTTCAAGCTTCTTGGCTGGTGAAATGTCTTGGTTAAATGGACTAAATGGCCAAAATGATACGGGCTTGGTTTTTGCCACCAGTATGCCAGACCATAGTATCCATTTGGTGTTATGGAAAGAACATGGCTGAAAAGCTCACACATACAGAATCTTCAGGAATTGATGGCCTATCAGCAGTGTGTCCATAAAACAAGACTTTGCATGAACCAAAGTTGCACATCCAATGGTATCATCATGCAATGCACAATCATTTACTTTTATGTGGGCATTTGGGAATGGGTTGTTTTGGAAATAATGCAATGCAGCATGCTAACAGTATTCACCACAAATTTTTGTCTATATTCATGTTTAAATATACCTATTTGGGCTCTGAAGTATAGCTTGTAATGTTTAAACCATTCAAATCTACTACCAAGTCTGAAATCAAGTTGTGCTTGACCTGACTTCTGACCTTTTTTTTTGTTGTTGAAACAGAAGGTGAAGCTACTGTTTTAGAACCATAGGCTTTTGTACGTCTAACAGCAAATACTGGTTGCAGTGCATGGCTGCTTAACAAAAATGAGAAAACAGCAAACCCTCTCTCTCTCCAGAATCTTTGTCTTCAAAATGTTTTTCCATATGATAGCTTTAAATACTTAGCCTTTGACACAGAAGAATCAAACAAGTCCTTTAACAAATATTTTTCCACATTTTTGTGCTATTTGACATGTCGTTAAAAGTTGTATCTACATCACATGCTTTAGAAATGCTTTAGGTTGACCTACCTTCCTTCCTGCCTTCCCTCCCTCCCGCCTTAATGTCATTTGTTTTTTACACAACTTGAAAACATGGGTTTTCATGAAAATTGGTTCATGCCCTTGAAAAGACAAAATTGTCTAGCATTACTAGTGTGATTTTTTTCTTCCCATTATTCAAGGAGACCTGATTTCATACTTAATACTGAATGAAGGCCACAATTCCCAAATGTATGTGGTATTAATTACACCAGTGAAGGAGAGTTCTCATATGCAAGAATTAGGATTTGAGGATGCGATAGGAGTTGCTTAAAGTCACAGTGGAACAATCTCTTAAATACAAAGCCAGACTCTTAAGCATTCAGTTTTTCCACCTTTACTCACATCAATTTACGTTGAAAAATGTTGTCTGTACTCAAGAATTTTATCAAGCAGAAGCCAAATTCACAACTCCATTCAAACTGCACTGTGTGGGGCATAAATGATGAGCTCACAAAAGTGAGCTTTTTTTGTCTCACTCCTAAGTGAAGAAAGCCTCCGTGAAAAAGAATGTTTTCAGTAACTTAACTTCAATAATTTATCTTGAAACCCAGTTCTCATCATTCTTATTGTGGGAGTAACATTACAGTATCATTGTGATGTGTGCTTCTGAAGGAACCACCTATACAGCACTGCATTAACTTTGAAAGACTGAGGCATGCCAGAAATGTCCTTGTTTCCAAATCAGCAAATCAGAAAAACTTGGTTAACTACTTCTTTTAGTGACCTTGATTATACAGAGTCCACAGAGAGGTGGAGTGCAAGATGGCTGAGAAACAGACCTAAGCTGAGCCCTCCAGATGGGAAAATGGTGGGCATGGGATGGGGAGGCACTGCTACTGTCTCCAGCTAACTAGTAAATGATAAAGAAATCAGTGTCAGACTGATTTTGGCATCTTGCAGCAAGACAATGGTCAATGGTTCTTGTGACAAGAGGAATTCTCCACAGTGAGTTTATTTTAAGACTGAAACAGGTTGCTCAGCCTTCCTAGACAATGCCAGGGAGTTGGACTTTCAGATGCCCCTTCTAAACAATGAGTCTGAAATTTTACATGGACCTGTTGCCACACAAGATTGTATGACTGATAGCAGCAGGTATCTCATATCCTAACACAGCTGCCAGTTTGTTGATAAAGACTGGGAGATGCTACAGTCACTGTGCATCGAAGTAAAAGTTACCTTTGGACATAGATAAAGGAACGACAGCATGAAACTAATGTAGAAATTTTAAAAAGCATACTTGCTCTCACACACTTCTGTCTGACACCAGTGTCAGGCTATTGCTGCCTTCAGATGTACCTTCAGTAGGAAGGTATGAGTATATTGCCACAACACATGCAATGCATGTAGTTCTGGGGGCTTGTCAAACTGAAACTGAAACTGAAACTGTGAAACAGAAGTGAGCAAATGGCTCTTCTGTTTGCTTCGGTTTCCACCTAGCCCTTCAGCAAAAGTCACTACTTAGCACTATTTCCAGACAGAGGCTGGAAAAAATGCAGCTTCTATACCCTCACACCTACTAAGGAAGCAATATAAATCAACTTACCTATCACATAAAGGACTAAAATCCAACTTGTGTCTAAATTTCATATAACATTTTCTAATGAGGCTTCAAGATGCCAGAAAAAAAAAAAAACCCAACAAAATATTACATTTCATAAAAGTTGTTTGGCCATCTATTTTTTCCTCCTTGAAATAGGTTCTTTTTGGTTCACAAAATTATCTTTTTCATTAAGATGAATCTCTGTCCCTTTCCTCTACACAACTCAGCACTTACCGCTTCAGTAATTCAGAACAGGTGCAATCACTCTTCTCAAACTTACATGTCTCCAAAGCCCAGTAGAACAAGACATTTTTTATCAGCAAAACTCCAACTGCTGTGTTTAGTGTTACAATCCATCACATTTTTAACATACACTATTTCCAAGAATATAAGGGGTGGTTTTTTCACAATTGAAAGAAAGATTGTACTCAATTACTTGTCTACTTTTTACTCAAATTGACGCATACAAATTTAGTACACAGTGACATACAAACTGCAAGAATTAAGCAATGCTACCTTTAATACTAGTGATTGTATTTGTACTTTTTGTACATAGGTTGAAAATGGTATTGCATTATTTGAATCAGTTGACAAATACTGATTTTAATTATTTACTGAAAACAAATTGTACATTTCTCAGAAGAGGTATTGCAATCTGCATTGATCATTGGTATCATTAAATGATTCATGGCTTTGCTACAGATTCCCTAAATAATTGCAGAAAAATGTAGACTCCATGTGGAAATCAATGTCATGTGATTTTTAAATTATATCCTGTCTTCCCACAATACAGGTAGCCCTCCACTTTCACTCCCTATAACTGAAGTTTCAATTTTGAGTTTGCAGCATGGTTTGAGATAGAACCTTGTTAACATTCATGATTAATGATGAGTTATATCTCCACAGTGTTGTATCCCTGATGAGAGATTCTCGGGGAAGGTTTTCTTGAAGGCCCTTCCGACAGTGATAAATGAGGGCAACATCCATGGGAACATTCACACTGTTCCCATAAGCACGTAGGACAGAATGGACTGAAGTCTGAATCACCTTTCGTGGATCAACTATCATTTTCCTGGGATTGATTACATCTTTCCTGTCAGGCTCTCTGTATACATGCTGTAATATGTTAACACCTGGCAGAGTATTCCAAGATGAAATGTTGAACATGTGAGAAAATACAGTTTCTGGGAAGATATGGTTCTCAAAGAGGAAAACACTAGTCCCTGGGTTTTGCTCCTGAAGACTGTTCATCATTGTTTTCCAGTCTGGGTGTTTAAGGGGAAGAATTATTTCATCAGCATCATTAAGGACCACAAACTTGCTCTTTTCCATGTTACGGTATATACAGTCATTTAGAGCCGTGATTTGTCCATAGTAGCCAATGTGTGTCCCGTCCTGCATGTAGCGCCAATTAGAAGAAACCCTGAGGTGTGAGTTTATTGGCCAGGGAATTACCTCAACAGTTCCTTCTTCTATATAAAACTTCAAGACTTTCTCCATCAGATGGCTACAGTTGTTCTTATAGATCACCACTTTCTGTACTCCAAGAATCTTATACATTTCCATACTCTGTATAAACTGCAAGACATTGTTGTAGTTTCCAAACATGGCAGAAATGCACACGGTGAAGTCAACAGAAAAGGTCTCAGGCTCGCGATTCTTAATTTCAAACCTCGGCAGCTGGTCAATATTTCCATATGGAGACTGATGAATTGATACATGTGTTGGATCACAATTTTTAGGTTCCAAACAAACTATATCTGTTGCACCATAAGGGAATCCAAATCTGTCTGAGTGAACATCAATTTTTGCTTTTGATACATATATCTTTCCATTGCCCTGACAGCAGAACCAGCAGTACAGCTGTTTTACATCTTCATGGTGAACAATCCCAATCACACGAGTGACTTTGCTTTCTCTGTCATCAAAGTATGGGGATATAATAAAAGTTTTGTTACCTTCTAATGCTGTTATTGTGCTAATGGCAATTTTCCCTCTACATCTTCTACCTTCTTGAATTACTTTTGGCTGATGAGAAAGTCTCTGTAACTTCAGATAAGAAACTGCAAGCATTGAAGTTACAGTCATAATGCACACAGCTGCAGCAAAGTAAGATTTTTTCCCAGCACACAACATTTTGAACGTATCTAAATGTCCATGCAAATTTCGTTGTCCTTGTACTTTATGCTGCCTTATCTGCAGAAAAGAAAAGGCTGTATGAGATAATACTGACCCACGATCATTGCTCAAGAATTTCACAAACAAGATGGGGGTAAGTCTCTATCACAGTGCACTGACTTACTCAGAGACCCAGCTACTGTGTTTTTATAAAAAAACAGACAGAGAACATGCATTTAATGATATGTACGATATGTGACACTGAATGCCTCTATTTGTCAAATGTGTGGAGCAGTTTCTCTACATGGAGGGTTCTGTAGAAGAATATAACAGAGGTCTATATACAGCAATACAAGGAGTATTTTTTTTTTCAAGAAACCAAATTTTAGAGTATCCAATTTAATAACTAGGCAGTAATTCTTAAAGCAAAGCAAAACTTTTCTTTTTTTCCACCTACACTGTATGTATGTAAATTATGTTTAAAAAAACCAAACTCAACCAGACTTCTCATAGACAAGAATTAATCAAGTTCATAATAAATAGGCTAATTAGGAATTACATGATGGTCCAGATATAATCACAAATTTATGAATTCCCAAACTTTCAGATCACCACAGATGAGACCATACACACAGAGGAAAGTCAATTCATACAATCTAGCAAGGGCAGGTGAAATCAATGCAGGTGTAAAACTCAGTTTGCCACTCTACCCTACATAACCCTGTACGAGGCAGGAGCTGCAGGAAAGGTCATCTCATATTAATGCTTACTAGAGATCTGAGCCTCTTCACACTGGATCAATGCTGTCTCAGCTCCTGGCGTGATTTGGGGGTGAGGGCTTAAAACTCTTGCTGCTGCAGGAACAGGTAGGCAGTCCTGAGTGACTGGATAACCGAAGTCTTCAGCAGCATTTGTGCTAGCAAGTGCCAGCGCCTGAGTGGGAGTTTATGCCACTCTCAAGCACTAATTTCTGCAAGTGGAGCCTAGATAAAAGTTTTCTCTACAAATTCATCTTTAGGTACTCAGATATGATCCATAAACAGACAAGTCTCCTCAAAGGCCTGCTTGTACCACAGAGATTCTTGGGGAAAAAAGGTGTCCCAGATTAATTAAATTCATGTCAGATCAGAAAACTGCATTGGTAGAAGAGAGTTTCCCCAACTGCCAGCAGGAAGTGTGTAGTAAAATGCCAGGATGGAATGAACTGATGCTATTGCATAAGACGACAAAAATGTTTCTAGCAGGTGAAAAATAATTGCCTGTGCCCTCAAAATAATGTACCACATTTTCACAATTGCTATTTCATGAAAAAGTGAACTAGGAAGAACCACAGTTACAACACACTCCTGAAAATGTCCCATATGCCAAGGCTGAAGTGATTTACAGCAGCCTTTGCTAGCTACCAAGAAACTGCTTTTCAGAAGAGAATAGTCATAGGGGCACTGAAAATCTCACTACATCACACTAGGCACCAAGCAGAAAAGAAAGCACTGACTCTTCTATCTCTGAAATGGAGATAGTATCCCCATAAGGCCTTAAAATTGACAGCAGAACAGCAAATACATGGTAAGAATCTGCTACTGCCATACGACTTCCAGCTGGAGATTTGTGACTGAAAGCAACTCAAACATTTTAAGTCTTTTTATGATACGTTCTGAAGTACACGTTTCCCCCAAGCATTCTTATTCCAAGGTTGTTATATATTTTAGCGTTTTTACAAAGAGAAGGTCACTTTTAACATTCTTCCCCTTGGTTTCATCTATTTATGACTTAATATATTGATCTATCTTACAGAATAACTATTTTTAATTAAAGAAATATCAAAACACATCAACAGTAAATAACAAAATAAATGTATTACCTGTTCTTTCTTCTGCTTTTTCTAGCAATAAATAACAAGAAAAAAAAATATCTTTTCAATTGCATTTCGAACAGCAAACACTGGAAAGGAAAAAGTACCTTTTATAGTAGCAGAGTGGGGCTCTGTTTAGTCCTCCCTTCATTTTTTTTGCTAAGTTATTTTGCTAAAGTAATCTACTAATTGTTTATTTTAAACAGATAAAAACTTAAATACTTTTAAGGTAAATTGCAGTAATTGTTCAATACAGAACAATACTGTGAGGATAAAAACTGGCACAATACCTAAGATACTTCCTGGCACATTTTATTTCACATAGCTGTTGCTCTTTTAATGTCAGTAACAGCCACACCTACCAGAAAAACAAGTTTCCCTTCTCTTGAGCAAAGTACACACAGTTGTGTTGCAATAACTTAATGCAAGTTACAAATGAGTATGGAGATGTTGAAGAAAATCAAACATTTTTCATGGATTTTTTAAGGCTACTTAAGTTTTCTTCTGAAAATTAATCATGAATGTTGATATAAACCCAGTTCACACACATACTTAAAAAGAACTAGAAAAATAGACTATATATATCTGCATTTCTTGGACAAATATTTTTTTCATAACATGCTATAAGGCCTAGCTAGAACATGTAGATACAAATTCTGATTAGGAACTGTGAGAGTGCTGAAACAACAGTGAGTTCTAGAAGCTAAGAAAAAGAGCAAAATCAAGAGTTCAAAGACACACAGAGCACTGACTCTTAAAGAAAAGAAATATGTAGTTATTTGATGAATGAAATTCATGGTTTCCTCAACACAACTCATTAATTTTGCTCTCCTGAAATAAACAGCAGAAATATGCAGTCATAAAATACATTAAGTCAGTATAATTAAAAACATTACATTTATATTTCCTCACTATAGAAAGGGTAAAATGGCAAATTTTAACTTTAAAAGTATGCTTTCAGTATATTTAAATGCTCTTCTTTTATAGTAACAATTAATTTAGATTTTGCATTTTTTAATTCCAATTACTATACAAGTAAGCATGACACAAATTATGCAGATTTGCTTGAATACTAAATTTACCTAATGGTATCGATGGCTTCTTTGCAGCATTCCAAATAACTGTAAACAGACTTTCTTCCTCCCCACCGCCCTGACAGACTGCAGTAGTATTACCTCCTCATCTTCATGTTCATTACCTTTTGATTCAACACCATTGTTTCTTATGACATGGTTTTACCTTTCATTGAACTGTCTTCCTTCACCAACTGTTTCTCTGCAGTTGGCTCAGTTTCCATTACTCTCTAGTACAGGAGACTAGAAATGTCTGTACCTTATCCATTTGAGTGTGGCAAGTTAACAAGCCCTCATCATTGTTAGAAATTTTCCTTCTTAATGTGTGCTAGGATTACATTTTTTGGAGATGCAACATATTGCACAGATACATCTGAGCTTGTCATCAGCCTACAACTGATATATCTGCCCAGTCAGTCAGGCAAGTGCAGTTACACAATGTTTTCTTCTGCAGCAAGGTCATAATAAAGAGCTCTTGTCACGGTTAGAATCACAGAATGGCTTGGGTTGGACAGGACTTTAAAATATCTAGTCCAAATCCCCTTGCTGTAGGTGAGATCTTTTGCTAGACTGAGCTGCTCAAATTAATAATGTTTCTCCGTATTTTGTTGGTCACAGTCCTGCTAAAATGTACTCTAAAACCTTGTATGGGACCAAGAACACACTTTAAAACTTTCATATATTGAAATCATCTTTATTTCCCCATCCTAAACCAAGGAATCACTCATGCTCTAGCCACACTGTACCACTATGCTCACAACACATTTATTAATCTCCCATTACAGGTTCTTCCAATAGCTTGTCTTTTTAGAATTTTGAAATTCTTTTTTTTTTTTTTGTATCGCCTTCAAATTGGATGTTGCTATTACCTTTGCTGTCCAACTTCTATTTTCAGACCTTCCTTTCCAACATCTTTCTAAAACCCTCCACAACTAGCACTGTCCTTACTGAAAGCTGGTACCAATTGCTAATTTAGCTCAAGAATCATTCCTGAGAAATAATTAATCTCCCTCACATGCTCTATGCATTATGGCCTTCCTTTGTTTTGTTCGCATGGAGAAGGCTGCCAACTATTTATGCTGCTCATTTCAATATCTTGACAACGTTTACATTGTATTAAGTTTTTCATAACTCTCATCTTATTACTTTATCTCCCAATCTAGGGTAAGGATAGAGGGCAAGTAACAAGAGGTGACTGCAGTTTGAGTTGTTAATATGAAGTATTAGCTTTAGCAGTATAAGAACAATAAACAACCTAATCCTTGTTTATCCAGGGTCCAATTAAAAACCCCCCACCAGAAAAACAGGCTTACAAAACTTACCATTTTTGAAAAAATATTATTCTCTATAGTTTATGATTTTTGTCAAAGGCAAAACCACAGATCACTGTGTTATTAACACAGCGTTAATATTAACAAATATGAACAATAATTTACCATCTTTATCTCAACTGCCTGTTGTTAATCTTTTGATAGCTTACTTTTTTCAGAAAGGTTCTTTGACACACCAGGTGTCCTTCCTCTCTTATAAGATCCAAAGTCCAAAGCATATTGTTTGAAGGATTAAACTGAACGCAGTATTTTTCCACCAATAAAATACTATTCTAAAAAAATTAGTGTCTATTTATATTCTAAATACAAAGACAGTAAGCCAGAACAATATACAGTGTTGTCATACAACTGTCAACATACAGTTTTTTTACTTATTTTGTGCTATTAGAACTGACAAACGCCACACTTCCTGTATACTCAGAAACTTCCCCATTATAATCTGCTGTACATCCGTAAGCCAAACTCCTCCTATTGTAAACATTTAAACTTTGTGTCCTTTGAAAATCAAACACATTGGGCAAAACAAAAACTACATGACATTTCAAAGACTGTTATTTCAAATTTTTTCTTTCACACTCTGCTTTTTTAGCTGGGGCCGAGTTAACTTTCTTCCTAGTAGCTAGCAGGGTGCTGTGTTCTGAGACCAAAGCAAGTGCTTCAAACACACTGATGTTTAGCTATCACTGAATAGTACTTACACAGAGTCAAGGCCACCTCTGCTTCTCCTGTGGCTCCTGTCCCAGGAATTGGATGGCACAAGAAGTTTGCATGGAACACAGCCGGGACTTCTGAACCAACCAACCAAAGACCTATTCCACACCGCATGATGCCATGCTCAACCATCTAAGCTGGAGGAAGGAGAAAGGAGGAAACACACGACATGACGGCATAGGGCTTCCCGAGTCACTGCTAAACCGGATGAAGTCGTGCTTTCCTGGAAATGGCTAGAAACATGCCTGCTAAGAGGACACAATGGATAGATTACACATTCTATTTTACATGCTGCTTTGCTTTACCCTTTATCCTGTCTTTATCTCAGGGGAAACCCACAGGATTTCCCACGTCTGCCTTTCTGATTCTATCCCCATCCCACTGCAAGAGGAAGGGTGAGCCTTGAGCTGCCTGCCCGGATTAACTCACAACACACACTGGAACTATGCTTTGGAGGAGTTTTGCATTCTTCAAATCTAAAGTTAACCTCCACCCTCAGTACGAATTCAGACAGAGACTCAGAAAACCTGCTTTGGACAATTAATAGGTACCTTTAACTTACCGTTAAGCGGTTAACCCCACTACTGAAAAATAATGCTACAGCTGATCACCATCCTCCTATTTCTTGAGTGGAAATAAAAGCCCGAATCCGTCGCGCCTCTCCCGCGAGCGCTGCCAGCCACAGGACGCCGAGCAGGCGCCGCTGCCCGAGCTGCGCTTCGGCGGCGGCAGGTTCACCGCGCTCGCAGAGCCGGCAGCGCGCCGCTTCCCGTCCCGCGGGGCCCGCCCCTCCGGCGCGGGGCGTGGGCGGCGGCGCCGGAGCCCCGTGCGGAGCTGGCTCGGCGCCGTTGGAGCCCCTGTGTCTCGTACCTGGGTCCCTCTGCGGTACCGACAGCAGCACCCACAACACGGCTCCGCGGCCCGGTTGTGGCGGGAGCGCTGCGTCCTCTCACCTCTCACCCGGGAAGGCAGCGGCGGCCGTGGCCGCGGAGACCCCGGCCGTACCTCAGGTAGAGCCCCCGCCCGGCGTGGTCCGGGCGGGGCCGATCGCGCTTGGAGCGGCTTCTCGTCGCTTCGAACCGCGGTGGCGCCTCCGCGACTTGCTGTGCACCGTCGGTGGGCGAGCGGCCCCGCCGCAGCGCGGCTCCGGGGGTCTTGTTCGGCGAGCGACGGGGAGTCCGCCTCGGACGGAGGGATCCCCACTGGCGCGGGCGGCAGCCTCCCCCACCACGCCTCTGGCCTCTCCGCCACTCCCAGGTGCCCCGAGGCTTTGGTGACGGAGGCCCCCTGTAAGACCACGAATGGGGAACGCGGCGGCCCCTGGACGCTAATGCATCTTGGAGAGCAGAGCCTGCCCGTCCCGCCGCAGATCCGCACGCCAGCGGCTCCGGAGCGCTGATTACTCAGGTCCACAGGCTGTGCCCGGGGGGAACGCTCCCACACACCACATCCTGGAAATGAACGGCATAGGCGGCACAAGTGCAAAAGAAGAACATCAGCAGTGGTGCACTGTTCTCGAGGAGGTCTCTGGATTCGACCCCGACGCCTGTCAAATTAACTTTTATAAAATGCAGAAACACAAACTAGCCATTATATTTTCAAAATGCAAGTCAATTTTTAAAAAGTACAGGGAAATTGATAATTACACAATGATAAAAATCCAGTAGCTTACTGGAGTCCTGTCTGCTTTTAGAGATAGATGTGACAGCTGAATAATTTCTACAATAAAATACAAAGTTGGCATTCGTAGGAGCTCTGTGGTGGGATTTTCTTTTCTAGTGCCAAAGGCCATAAGGCCACAGACCTTTTTTCCAGTTATAGAGACCTCACACATAGAGTGTCTTTATTTCTGGGGAGAACACAGGAATAAAATGCTTACTACAATCAAATGCTTTAAATTTCATTATTACATTTAAAACTGTAGCATACCCAGCACAGCTCTCTTTCAGAGCCAAAGCTGTGTATCTCCCAAGGGATGGATCCTTGATAAGAGGTCTGTCACACCAGTTTCCTGCAAAGACCTGAACGGTGCTATTAGGCACTTCCCAACCAGCTGCAAATACCTGTAGAAAACAGCAGACTGAGGCCTCAACCATCCTATGTGGACCAAATAATTTTTTCCAATTTGAAAGAATATCTTTCCTAGATACATTGATCCAGTTCACAACAGGTTCACATCTTTCCTACCAAGGACTTGAGAGCTGGATGAAGCACTCCACGTGAGATCTCACGTGAGCTGAGTGGAGTGAGGGGCAGAATCACCTCTGTCACCTGCTGCCCACACTGCTTTTGATGCAGCCCAGGACATGGCTGGCTTCTGAGCTGCCAGCACACATGGCCAGGACATGTCCAGCCTCTCATACAACAGGACCCCCAAGTCCTTCTCAGCAGAGTTTCTCTTGATCTGTTCGTTAGAATTATGTCAGCCCAAGCCACTTATCAAGCTTGTCCAGACCCCAGTCGTCAGGTGTGGCAACTGTATCACTCAGTCTGGTGTCATCTGCAAACCTGCTGTGTTAAAATTTAAAGTGCAAAGAAATTTGTCTCTACTTTTTTTGACTTTCAAAATCTCACTTGAAAAAGCTGCAAATTTGTAGGCTTTTTCATTTTTATCCTAGAAAGGTTCATTCTGTTGTATTTATACTACTAAATGGCTAGACTCTGTGCTCCATAAAGTCTGTTCAATTATATTACCATTCATTCACAAATAAAACATGCATGCTGCCTTTGAGCTAAAACATTCCTTCTGTACCTCTGCTATTCTTTTTCATAATATTTTATTGTCAACAGCATACATACCCTGCACATTTTTAAACTTACCACCAATGCTATTACTGTTGTAGTAAACAAACTTTTTTTTACATTAAAGTATTTAATTAGCAAAACAATCATTATTATCAATGTAACAAACTGAAAAATGCAGCAACTCGATACAAGACTGAGGTAACAAAATTGCCAAAAACCTAGATTTCAACACCAGAGTTCTTACAGGTGAGACAGTTCACAAGAATTATAGAAAGAATCCTTTACACAAATGGCATGCAGTGGACTGCTGGAAAACACAGCCAAATTTAGTGCAACAGTTTCCACACAAAACAAACCAAAATTTTGAAATTGATTAACATTATAGTGTGACAAATCAGTCTCACTTTGAAAACTAGTTTCTTTGCCTCATTTTAGTGCTATTTGGAAAAACATGCATTTTGGCACTGAATGACATAAAAATTAATTAAATAAATAAAAATAAATAATGGTTAATTAAATAATAAAAATTAAAAATTAATTAATTAATACATTCAATAAACGAATAATATTACCTATAGTTATTATATCTTCACAATTCTGAAAATGGTAATTATGAGATAATGTTTACTTTTACATAACTATTGTAGTTGTTCTCTTTGATGGAGAAAAAACTTGTACGGCTTGTGATTTTTTTTTTTTGTGGATATGCTGTAACAATCAGTAGTGACAGGCAACCTATTATATTTCAATAGCAGCTTTCAATTAACCATAGAACTACCTGGTAATAGCAAATAGTACCAAATGGCATTGTTACACCTCTAATCAGCAGCTACAAACTGTTTAATACTTGAAGACTAATTTAAAATTGTTTTAAGATGTTTTACTAGTATTCTTTCACTGCCATCAATCCGAATTTCTCAATACTGTGCAGAAATTTCACAGTTGTGCTATACGGAAAAGATGTTTAATCTCATTGATGACTAATCACAAAAATCCACAGGTGCAGAACAATTCAGACTATATCATTGCCTAACAGTATGAAGTCATTCACTGCTGTCAGGATGTTACCACATTCAAAAGCTTCTACACCATCTCTAATGGTGTTCGATGCTCTGCCCTTGCAGATAACCATGTTTTCCCTAGTTCCAAGTTAAGTTAGCAAAGAAAGAGAAAAATAATACAAATATATATTTTAATTACCACTCTTTTCACACAGTTCCTCAGTTATCAAACAAATTTTATCAACTTTACATACACTTTCTCATGTCCCAGGATCTAAATGCAGTTGTCATCAGGAGCTGTTTTTCTTGAACACCTGGTATATATTAGGCTTTCAGGATTGTAACATGAACTCTTAAAAGAACAATAAATTTACTTTTGACCTACATTTAACAATACAGTTTTTTTTCTCCTTGTTGTTAGAGAAATTTCAAAATTAAAACAGAAAAAATCATGGAAGTCCACAGAATACATACTGCTAATGCCAGGGAGCTTGTTCTAGTAGAGGTTCTGTTCACTTAAACTGACTTTCATGGTGTTCCTGGTTTGTAAATTAGAGGCTGGCTTGCTAATTTCTCCTCTACGCAATCTTAGGAAAGTCAGAAGAGGTTCTCTGGTGATTGATGAAGTCGGAATAATGATACTATATGGCAACAGAGTTTCAAAAAGAAAAAGTGATGAATTTAACATACGAACAGAAAACGATTCTGACTGCAGGAGTGCCAGGGTACAGCAGGAATACAGCACAGAGAGAGTTCCTTCAGAGGAGAAGATGCAGTGACATTTCTTTTGTTTGTTTGCTTATTCTCTGCATATAGATGTGGAGTTGTACTTGCTCCACTGTTACACAGTCTTTCACTGCCATCACAATTTTATAATAGCAGTACTATCTACCAGTACTAATGTCCTGAAGTCACAACACATACTGGAATTGAGTGGAGCCAAGTCGTCCACAGAAGGACAGAACAGAAACAATGATATGGAGTCATTCTGAGGAGCCAGGACCATGTGATATAAAACACATGATTACCTGCTTCCCTGTGCTAAGGGATTTGAAATGAACAACCAAACACCAAATTTATAAGCAAGTATGCCATTGGTAAAAGAACAAAAGACAAACTTCAGTACAATATAAATTTTAACAGCCTTAAATCTATTACCAGTGTATTCCTGACCAAAATAACTGAATGAAAAAGAAAACCAACTGTCCTATGCCAAAACACTTTTTCCCAAATAGCTCAAATATGAACAGCATATTGTCCAGAGATTTGATAGAAAATTTGAGGCAGCCACATTGCTAAGCAACTCAGTGCACTTAGATTATAAAAATGTTGTTCCACAATTTTCTATTCTAATTGACACTTTGGAGCAAGTTAACACTGTCAATCATTCTGTGCATTAGAAAGAATTGAAACCCAACATGGGCCAAATATTCTTCAGTCACACAAAGCAGCTTAACAATAAAAAGAACCATTTGAAAAAGAACAGGCAGAAGATATAATGCTCAGTTTGCGGCCAAACACCATTTCATGCAGTCTCTGACCACAAATAGTTGAGGGCTCTAGAATCCTGCAGGAGTCAGGATTAATCTTCTGTCCATCTAACTTGTCTGTTTTCACTCAGTGCATGAGACTTTATCTGGTCCTAGGGATAACATTCACTTTCTGCTTTTAAAAGCTGTGTCAGAGTCACTTTCAAGTTACATAGGAAAGTGCTGAAATATCTGAGGCTGGCTCATGTCAGGAAAATCATTCTCCTCTTCCTCCTTAGAGAACAATAACCTGTTTCTTCAGTTTGGCACTTGAAGTCACACCAGGTAGGAGAGGAAATTATTCGAATGACATTAGATTAGCAGGTACCTGGAAGAGATTGTAAATTACTCATAGAATCATTACATTTGGGAAAGATCTCTAAGATCATTGAGTCCATCCTAGTATGGTTGCTTTCATTTTCCATGCAACAGTCCTTCTAAAGAAGAGACGAGGTTATCTTGCTTGAAGCAACTGAGAGTAGAGGTTATATGCTCTTAAGGTAACCAAGCCAATAGCTAGACCTGCACAAAACCTGATTCTCTAATTTTAAATAATCTTTCTTTCTGCTATTGAAAAAATGGATCAGTATACAGAATGAGGAATTATGTCTGTCCCAACAGGAATGCGTATGCACACAGATTGAAAGAGCTTTTCAAGTAAGGATTCTCTGGAAAATAGGAAAAATAAATAGGTAGAAATAGTTTTCACCACCTTACCTGAGGCTTGTTGCTTTTGCACGCGTCATCCAGATGTTTATGCCATAATATTGCATGAAACCTTGAACCAGTCTGAAACTTGTAAACATTGCCTACAAGAACAAGAAAATGAAAGACTCAGAATTTGCAGACAGACATGTAGTTTCAAAGGACTCTGATTTCTGTGCAGAAGCCAAAGTCCTGAAGTAAACTCTTACAGTAATTTGCACCTCAAATGCTCAAATTTGATGCTGCTAATATAACAGAGCCCATGTGAGGCATGTACCCAGCAGTTCTTGGGTGAAGCAAGTATGAGAACATATGTGGCCTCATAGGCAGAAAGGCTGAATTACAGCCACAGAAAAGACCATGTAGGTCGGTGTGTGGCAAGAAAACAAAGAACACTTAGTAATAAGAGAACAAAGCCTGCTTGGTTAAGAAGAACCAGAACTATTCAGTCAAGGCATGACAGATGTAACAAAGTTTCTAAAATGTAACAGACAGCAGAACCTCAGTAGTTGGCAGAAAAAAACTGTTATACAAGCACTGGATTTAAAGAAAAAATGCTGACGTGAATACTAGGAATGTGATCCCTTAAATTATTGGTTAGCAGACGCATGAACAGTTACAGTATTGGCTATCCAGGCGTGTGATATTCTAATCTGATACTGAAAATATTATAAAGCTATATACACTTTTAATAAATGTTTCTGGTTATACCACAACTGGGGACTCTGCATCATTCATACGCCGCAGGTCAGATCTAATTTAATCCTGGCTTTCTTCTCAGCAAGGCTTCTGTAAACTTAGTTTTCTTCAATGTCCTACTGCAAATTGTTTCCTGCAATCAAATATTTTGTGCATTTTAGTTAACACCCAGATGATGCACTTCACAGAATAGATGGGACTCCATATCCAGCACCAAAGCTGAAAACATGGAAACTGAAGAAAGCCTCAAGAACCTGTAAGCAGCCACTCAAAGTGCAAAATAACTCCAGGAGTTTTCTTATCTTTTGAAGTTTTGGAAGTTTAATCAAGGGAAATGAGTTATGGCATTGCAAAATTAATTATTAAAAAGTGATAATTACTTAGCAGACTTACTTTGGTAAATGGCTTGATATTTTAATTTGCCTCAGTGTAAGTCAAGATTTGATACTGACTGATTTTAAGGAAGCTATTCAGAGACTTGGAGATCAATGTATGGAGATATATGGACGTGCTGCAATCTCATATTAGCTGAGGAATTTCTGCGAAACTTACAGTAACTGTCAAAAGAAAGGAATCTCTGCAGGCAGCACAGAAGCACCACAGCATATTGTAGAAATACGTTCCATTTAATTTGTACGCTCCCTGGAAAATTCTGTATTGAAGAGCTCCCTCTTCAGTATTTATGAGTGCCATTGCAAGTTCTGTAATCTACAAGCTCATTAATAGACATTAATCTACTTCCTGTCACAGAAATGTAATGCAGACATTGTCCATCTTGCAATATCTACCTTTGTCAGGGTTATTTAGCTGGAAAATATCAGGATGCTCTGGGTCATCAGGCAGTGCCACCATCCAGCCTACAATGGAGACTTTTTTCCCAGGTGTAGATTTATACTGGAAAAGAAAGACAAATCAGTCATAGCTGAGACTGTAGTAGAGATTAACTTTTGACTGTAGAAGTTGTGCAGAAATATGGCTTAGTCTGGAACAGAAAGTACACTTTGGATGCCCTTCCAGATCTAGTTATGAGTATTCAATATTTGGTTTTAGAATAAATTTAAAACTTACATGTTTTCTTTCAGTGCCTCTTAAAGCTTTTGCTCCGAAGTACAAAAGAGTTGATCCTGAAAGCATAACCCAGTATCTAGTCCATGAGGAGAGCTGAATGAAAAAAGAAAAGAATTAGGAAAAACTCTGCATACCTCTGACATTTCAAAAATTTATTCACAGGCAAGTCCAAGTGGTACCAAAGTTAATTTCAGAAGCAAAGAATGGAGATAAAGAGTATCTCCTGATGTAAATCAGCCCAGCTACCTAAAGCTTGATGGCTGGCTGTGAATACAATCATTCTTTGTTGGGTATCTCATGGAAGTACCAGTACTGATTGTTTAGAGAAGAACAGTGTGCAGCCTTCTCCTATACAGATCTTAGGCTTTTGATTTAAAAAAAAAAATTGAGTTGACAACTCTGCAATTCTTCAAATCTTTTAGCTCTGTACTAAATCTTTAGAACTGTACTGGGTTGCATGAGAAATACATAAATCAACTCTACAGAAAATAAATAAATTATCAAATGCATAGGACAAGAACCATGTGAAACCCTTGAATTCAAATTAACTATGAATTGCCATGACTTTGGTGCTATGGGTGGCTGATCTGCAGCTGTTCCATTTTAATGTGATATCTCAAAAGCACCAAAATATATTGTAGAACTATGATCAATTGTATTTGTACCCTCCCTTGAAAATTCTGTATTGAAGAGCTCCCTCTTCAGTCTTTATGAGTGCCATTGCAAGTTCTGTAATCTACAAGCTCATGAATAGATATTAATCTACTTCCTGTCACAGAAATGTAATGCAGACATTGTCCATCTTGCAATATCTGCCTTTGTCAGGGTTATTTAGCTGGAAAGTATCAGGATGCTCTGGGTCATCAGGCAGTGCCGCAAGATTTATTTCTGCCCTCACAACACTGCTTGTTGGTTACACAATTGCTTCACTCCTGCTCTGCTGTCACAGTTAGAAACCTGACTTGCAAACTGCTGTATATCAAATGACACACAAAGGTTGCAACCTCCTTACAACCTGGTTATAACTTTGATCAGAAAATTACAACTGATAAAACCATTGTTTTGTGTGGTATCAAGCTGCAGGTTTAATATAATTCTGAAAATTAAACCAGCCACTAATGAATTAGGGCCATAGGAATAATTATAATTAGAATCACTTACAGTAGGTTTCTTGCCTTCTTTGAGCAGTGTTTTTCTTCTTAAAGGCCCTTCCATGGTAATGACTCCTGTGGAACCACCTGCTGTGCAGCTGCATGCACCTGTTAGGCTGGAGAGACAAAGCATTCCTCTACTTGAGCAGACAAATAAGGATGACAAGTAAGAAATATAATTTAGCTCTAAATATATCTTATCCTGCACTGCTTTATGTATATTGTATAAACTGAAATGTGACTCTAGAATATGTGTTTTCATAACCTAGGTATCAAATAGGAACCAAGATCTTTCAAAAAGGTTTCTATTCTGGGGGCTTAGACATGAAAAAATAAAACAGAATAAATACTGAAACCCAAAGTCAAAGTGAAAACAGGCACCACTTCTCAGTGACTAGCAACATTGTGAGCACCTACATATGGCTTGTGGATGTTCCCTCTCTTACTTGAGGTCCAAGGTCCAACCCTTTTACTGAACAAAATCAACACACTACACAGACATGGAAAGATATCATGGGTAGCTGTCTGGTAAATCAAGATTGTGGGAAAGGGTCAAGAAGGCATTCTTCTAACATCATCATTTGTAACAGGAGTCAAAGATGGCCTTCATGACAAACCTGCTTCCATAAAGGTTTCATAAAACCCCAAGTAAAGCCTAGTTTTCTGCAAAATGGGAGCCAGACATCATTAGTTAAATCAACAGCTAAACTGAATTTCATCTGAATGGGCCATAACCCTGCTTTATCATTAACAGGAATTCTTACAAGCAGGAGGGGGAAACTTCGTAAATTGTTATGGTCATACAAGGATATTTGGACACAAAATACATTACACTAGGAAAGCATAAAGACCCAAATTGAAGTTTAGCACCTTACAATGAAAGAAGCAGACCCTGAACTGTACCTGTAGACACAGCTTCGACTCCGAGGAGAATTCCTGATTGGTACCCTCCAGTTAGGTCCCAGTGTGGCATATAAACGACCCCTGTTTGTGAATGCAAATATCTGATGAGGGATATTCTAGTTTGAGACTTCAATAGTTAGGGTTTGGTAAACATGACAGAGATAGTTCCCAATCTTTTCAGGTCCAATACCTTTACAGTGCTTTATTTCAAAATGTTTGCCATTTTTTTCCTAACTAATCAATAATTTGATAAAAATAACTATTGATTTAGGGCTTACCTATGTATGGGATCATTTGTGAATGTCTTAGCTAAGTCTGTAGAGTGCTCAGTGAGTGTACATGAAGACTAACTCACCTTTCAAGCCCTGACGGCAGCTCCTCACTAAATTCTGAGCTTTCACTGCTATCTAGAAAGAGAGTAGTACAGAGAAGGAGTAAGAAAACCACCCATGTGAAAATACAAAGCCAATGTATGTGGATCACCAGAATACTCTTTTGTATAGTACCATGGACACCACTTACTCAAATCATGTTTTGAAGAAGTGTTTAGAGTTCATGGTAAAATCTTTAGTTGGAGGAGACCTACATGAGCCTCACCATTTATATTATCTCACTCTTAATTCATGTTATTGCTGTGTTTTAATACCATTACTTTAATTTTCATCATGCTTTTACTTCAGAAGCTGAGCACTTCACGTACATAAAATCCAGCTCCTTTGTAAGACAATATTTCTACCACAATATCCATAAGTGAATTGAAGTTATTAGGTATGGTATCATGGTTTATTTTCAAGAAGCAAACACACCTCTAATAGAGGATCTATCAGCTGTATGCTGCTGCTAGGAGTTAATAAAAAATATATATATATATATATATATATATATATATGATGGTATTCACAACTAAAGTTCCTATCTCTCCTTCAAGCCCATCACCTATCTGTCCCTTTTAATTTGCCCAGGACTGATCTTCTAATGCTCAGTTTTAATACAGTGAGCTGTTCCTGTATTTTCAGAAGTGCAAAGATCATCTCAGTGTCCAACTCTTGGTCAAGAAATGTGCTATCTTTTACAGTCAATTATTCTAGAAATTGCCCAAGTCTCTTAAAAGGTGGCTTTCTCTTGCTTAGAACACAGATTCTTCATCACTTTTTTGATATTATAATAATTGCTTTATTTATTGTAATATCATAATGTGTTCATTTTATGTTTCTTTGTAAGTCTTAGAGAGTACTACCAAACAAATCCCCTAGCTTCTAAAACATATAGTCAAAATTAAAGCTTTCTTTGTGTAAAGGTAGCTTTTAAAATACATATCCACTTTCCCTGTGGTAAAAGCTGACAAACGCTTTGTGTCACACACCGAGCATCTACAAAACCAAACTTCATGCCACTTTTACCAAAAGCATCAGTGGATAACCGAGGAAAGCTGATGTAACATTGACCAGGTAGCAGTTCTGGTCAACTTTCATCCATGAAAACAATCAGTCTTTGCAAGGGAACTAATAATCCGCCTAACTCTCTGCTTTCAGACAGTGAGTCTGCAGCGTCCTGGGGACAGGAGCGCGGCTGTCACTCCCCAGGCACACGGTACCTATGGAGAGGCCGTTGGCAAGGCGCGTGCCGGGCGTGTGGCCGCGCGCGGGGCTGTGACACTCCAGGACACTGTCATCCAGCAGGTGCCGCGGCCGCTCCGTCGGGAAGGTGGCGCTTTTGCTCTCCACGACGCTCAACTGACACATCATACTGGAACATGGAAGAAGAGAAAAGCATGAAAGCCCTCTTATGTCATCTAACAGCAACCCTTGGCTCACATTATTTCCACTCAGCCTCTGCCTCATCAGCAGGTTATTAAGGAGCAGGCAATTATACGCTACCATGTACTGTACATATGCTCCTTTACTACCAAAATGAGTTTCAGATTTTACTTCTCTTTGTCAGTAACAATTACTAAATTTCTGCAGCTGGGAAGTTGTAAATGTTTTAACTCCTCCATATAAAACCTGAACATCCTTGGTGGCAGCAAAAGCAGAAACCAAGAAAAAGGAGACATACCAGGAATCCACAGACCAAAGTGGATAAGCAGCTTTCAAGTATTGCCAGTGCCTGGCACTAGCAGAGAATAGAGTCAGCAAAACTAACAAAAGTGTAAAGAGAAAACCTAGAGAATACATAGTAGAGCCTGAAACATTTTTGCAATACAAGAATTTGAAAGGACAAATACTAGTACGTTCTCTGCTGCTATCTTAAATTTTTGTGACACACGTAACTGCCTGAGCATGAGACAGCTAAGATTACACACTTGTTTCCTAAGCTGTGACTCTTCCGGTGCCTTGGTACAGGAGGTGTAGGTAGACTTGCTGCTACTGAGGCATCAGGACATGTGGGTCTCCTGCTGAATTTCATAACTGCTGATATATCAGACGGACCTAAAAGACAGAGATATTTAATACTAGACTGATGCAAATTCCAGAAATTTCATTGGCTGGTGTGTTTAGGAACTGATTAAAATTAATTTTTACAGATAACCGAAAGGCACCATTTCTGAAGCACTGTTTCTTGCCCATTAGGGTTACGCCATCCATTTTTGTTATAAATTCATCTCCATAATCTTGAACTCCCTGGAGTAATTTTTTTAAAAGTTTTGCTCATACTTTTAACAATGAACTACAAAATCTCTCAGTATCCTTACAACAGCTGGATGTGCCAAAGCATAATATGCAGAGCCATAAAGTCAGTTTGTACTTCAGGTGTGAACAGGAATGTTCACGTGTGTTTTGAATTTTGTTCACAACTTCATGTTGTGAATAAACTGTAAACAATCTGCTCATGCTGACTCACAGCTTGAGCATGTAAGAAAAACCAAGGGCTCTTCATATACCTAATGGACAGACAGATGTATTACTTAAACATCTATGAGCTCTAGAGATGTCTCACTGCAATCATTCTTCCTCTCAATTTACAGGATTTATGAGGCCTCACATGAAACATGGACAAGCTGGTTTTGTTCCAGCTCCTTGATGCTGTTCACGAAAGGCAAGCAGTGACCTTTGTAATACAGTGGAAAACACGGACTATCATCATCTTTAGTAAATGCCAGGCTCTTCTTGGCTTCACAGCAAACAGTTGAGATTTCACTTTTAAACACTTAGTTATGGCATTGGTGTTTGTGATGAAAGTGGGAACAGTGGTCATGAAAGTCTCCATCTGCCCCATATCTTTCTCCTTGGGACAGTCCAGGTACTAGCAGAACAGATTTTCCTCTACATTACAAAAATCACTTCTTGGAGGTTCCAGCAACCTCAGCTTAGTCAGCTTCTGGACTCTTACCAAAACCCACTCATTAAGAGGTTGACACAAGAAGAAACTTTGTGATGTGAAAAGCCATGTACAATCATCATCAGAATCTTTACAAAAGTGTCTGGAATCAAATAAGTAATAAACTGAAAGAACAAAAAAAAAAACCCTCAAAACCAATCCAAAACACCAACATTCCACGGCACAGTTTGACAACAGGATGTGAACATGAACTTTTAACAGAAACAGTTCTGAGAGACAAGACTTCCCAGGGAAGTGGCCATGGCACCAAGCCTGTCAGAGCACAAGGTGAGTCTGGTTATATCACAACACTCTTAGTGATATAATGTAGTTTTATGTAGCCCTGCCAGGAGCAGGAAGTTGGACTCAATGATCCTTACAGGTCTCTCCTTATTTGAGACATTTTATTTGTTATACAGGCTGCTCCCTCTATCCTGACACACCCTGAAGGAAGGTATCAACTTCTTGATACTTGAAAGCCTTGCCTTGAACTGGGGATTCATGAGACACAAGAAGAAATAGGAGAAACAGTAATGAGTTTGTCTTCAAAAAGAGGACAAAAAAAAAAAAAAAAAAAAAAAAGAAAAAGGACAAAAAGTAAGAGGCAAAAAAACCCCAAATAAATGCAAGATGCTTTCCTGCCCATACTCACTCGGCAATATAGACTTAATCAAGTTGTAGGAAACATAGAAATTAATTCCAAATTATCTGTATTTTTATTTCGCCCTAGCCCAGACTCTGGAATCTCACTGTGAACTGGATTGTAACTAGGAAAAATTGCAAAGGGTTTTCCCTAGCAGTAAGGGGAAAGATTTAATCCACAGAGTATTCTGCACATTTGAGCAAACAGTTCATTATGTTGATTAATTAATAATGAAGGGAGCCCCAAGACAAGCAAAAAGACACAATTTCTTTTAGCAATACAGAGAGGAGGGACAAGTTTGTTAGAGGAACCATCAGTAGTATTATTCATCACACCATCAATTTAGTAGGAGAACAAAGACAAAACAGTTTCTAAGCATGTTTTCTGCCTCATTCATATATACCATCAGGACAGCATTTTTCCCTGCCCACCTTTGCTACCAACACACAACTGCAAATCTGTGAAACACAACAGTCATAGCATCAGTCACTGGCATATGCAGCTTCAGAGAAGGTCTTATACATAATGGCCACATGCAGTTTAAAAAAATGCACTTCAGTCATTACTTCATCCAGAGATTCACCTAAAGACACACATCTGGGATGTTGGAGAGGGCCCAGTACAACGTTCTTGCTGCACATGCAACTAAAATGTTGATGCATTTGGGCTGTAACACAACACAGGAAGCTTCTTCCCTAAAACCAAAGCAGTTCATCTTCCATTTCTGCCATGGAGTTGAAGCACAAATTAGGACAGAAAAAGTATGATTATGAATGCAATTATGTGTTGCCTAGTTTAATGTAAAAACTGTATGGATTCCTGGATTTCAGACCTATGGATTAGGTCTGAAAAATCTTATCTGCTGCATTAGTATCAAGAATATACATTTCACTAAAGTCTTTTACCATGGATTTTCATTACAAATTCAAATTTATGCAGAGACAAAACAAATGCCTTCAGAATTTTCAGAAATTTTTACAAGTTCTTTTTTTTACAAGTTTGAAAACCTCCAGTTCTTCTGATGAACTAGGTTCCCAAAAAGGAAGTTTGCTCTACATGCTCTCTTTGTAGTGCCTTTCCATCAGATATTTTTCATCTTGTGAACAGGAAAATACATAGGACTATTAAGATATTTATTACCTGCTAAGAAGTCTAAAATATATTGGAATTGAAACCCAGGATAAAAACAGTGGCAGCTAAAAAAGAATTTCCCTGAAAATTATGAGCATTTATCAGCAAGAGTTTAATCTGAAACTGAGCATAAACCTCAGTGTTAATATGCCTACTCTGAGGCTTGTCCCTTAATTTGTTGCAGGACTTGTTCATTTTTATATTGCTTCCTGCTGTGTCATTCAGGTGTTTCTGAGGCCAGTTCTCAATCCTGGTTTACATTAAGTTTTTTTCAAGTGGATGACATTAAGTTCTTTTAAGTTCACTGAATGCCACTGAAGTATTATTTTTAACAAGTTACTGAAACCACAGCCTGTGAAATAGTAGCAATCTTAAGGCATAGCCCTAGAGGATTATCAGTATAGTTCAGTGCTTTTTCACATAGACATTGAACCACATGTAGAAACACCTGTTAAATTTTGTAAACATAATAGTTTAATGGTTAAGTTTCTCACTGGGGAGAATCAGGGACCTGAAAGCAGTTTGATTAATTGTGTTCCAAAGCACTGATATGCAACAAAACAAAAGCATGAGACTGCATAAAAATTACTTTATCAGAAAGAACAGCAAAATAACAAGTCCACTGCTGACACAATCAAGTTATTACAAAATCAAAGCTGGCTGGATTTGACTCCAGGTAGGTTCAAATGTTACTATCAAAACCACAAAGAGTAAGAGACATTATCTAGCAAGAAATCATAGTTTGATACTTTTCACTCTACGCTCCCTTTTTTTCTCCCTCTCTTTAGGGAGTATGGACTGAAATTTACTCTCATATGATTGCAACACGAAACTATCTAAAGATTGATCATTATAAAGATGATAATTACTTGATTGAGGCAAGAGCTTTTATTTCCTGAACAGCTTTAGAACAGAAGAAGTTTGATAAACTGTCACCCTCCCCCTGAAACAAATTATGTAGCATGTCTAAAAGGACTCCACATTTCAGATTATAATATAATAATAGAGAATATTATGAATAATATAAAAATAATATTAGGGATTAAAATTTCAGTTGACATAAAAATATTGCCAGGCTTAAGGTGTGACATGTCAAGGGTGACAGTTTGTGGAAATAGGTGTAAGAGTCTTACAACTTAAGACAACAGTCCAACTTGGCTTCCTTGCTATTATATATGGCAATCACAATTGCTTGCACCAGTCCTGTCAAAGAAGGAAATGGATCTGGGTTGACAGACCACTGGAACAGGCTGCCTAGAGAGAGCTTGTGGAGCTTCCTTCATTGGAGGCATTCCAGAGCCATCTGACACAATCCTGTGCCATGTGCTGTAGGATGACCCTACTTGAGCAGGGAGCCTGGACTAGATGACCCACTGTGGTCTCTTCCAACTATGCTGTGATTCTGCAACTTATTCAAATTCCTAGTCAGTGAAGATTCTGATGGCAGAAAACAGAATGCTTGTGGGATCAGATGAAAACAGAAATATCATCTGTGCTGGTATTATTATGGTTGGACTGACCATTTTCAATGCAGTTCTGCATTCTCCTCCAAGGAGTGAAGGAAATCCATACAGTTTAGCTCTGTTAGCCCTGTGCTAAGGTAATAAGAACCTGAACTTAAACACCTTTACATAGTCTTTGTATCTGCTCTGCTGCCAAATGTCTATGAAGAAGAATGGTGAAGTTTATAGAGTTCTCCTCAGCTAGCTACACTTAGAAGCAAGAAATCTGGGGTACAGTGAGTGTCAGCATGAGTTATAAGGCATCGAGCAGATGACCTCATTTCTGTAAAGGAGTAAGAGACAAAGAGAGCCCATGTCAAGAAGGATGCCAAGAGGGTAAGCAGTGAGATACTGGTGACAACTGCACAGACCAAAGGGATGTTTATGGACATACCAGACTGCTGAGCAATTAGCTGGGGAAGTTATGCTTGATACTGCTGATAACAAAATTCCAATACTTAAATTCATTTGGGATTGAGTTATTTCGCCCCTTTTTTCCAATAAGTGAAGTCATCTGCTACTGCTAAATCTTGTCTTTACTCTTCTGGCTCCACTCCTAGTGCATACTGTTACCATGATTGCTATTCTGTTATTTTGCCTTTCATGGAGACAAAGCACTCTTAGCAGGATTTTCCAGTCAGCTGGCATGAACAAGGGTTAGTTTGGTTTTCATTATTTCTCAGCATCATTTTCAAGATTATGCTGACATGCACAGGAATGATGTATAAAAATATTAAAATGTTATTAAAAATGTGTTTGCATTAGGGAACGTGAGACAACTTCATCAGAGCAAGTCAAATGCTGTTCAGAGATCTGTGGCAAGAACATTTGGAAA